GTGGTTTTAGTCAGTAAAAGTCTGACACTCCCTCTCGCCTCACTCGGGCAAGAAAAGTCATTGGATGATTTACCCCGTTAAAAAAACCTAACTCAGACGAACAACAAGAGCATGTTGCAAATTATTGAAAAACCACTTATTATTATTTAATTTTACAAAATACAAACATATGTACAAGAATATAAAATCAACATAACATCACGCCTTTCATCCCCGAAGGTGTATTTAGAGCACATTACGGCACTTTCTACCACTATACAATGTAACACCCACTTTTCACTATTTATGTTATGAGTCCCATGTAATAGGGGGTGAGCCTATTGTCAAAATACCAAATGATTATTTTTAAAATAAAAGAAAGAAACTAATAAAACCTCTTTTCTTAACACTTATTATGTTTATTAACTTAATATCAAGGTATTAATAGTATTAAATTATAACATTGTTCTCACATATACGGTGATTAGGTACTTAGGCATGTTAAATGAATGGAGAATATTTGTAGATGAAACTGCAATACGTAACGTAACAATGCGATCTTTACTGAGTCACTTGTAATTCTGTTTTAGTAATACATACCTAAATGCCTGTTTATGGATTAGGAATTGTCAGTACCTAATGTGCATTTCGTAATATTTTAAGCTGCGATTTTCAACGAACCTGAATGTAATTTTTTTTAAATATTTGGTCGGTCGACGTTTGACCACGATCTCGCCTGGTGGTAAGCGATGATGCGGTTTACGATGAAGCACGTCGTCCCATAAGCAACCTATTCACTCGGGCCTTGAAGACTCCCAGGACCCTTTAGAAAATACATACAGACTCTGGCAAAGAATCCCACTCCTTTGCAGTACGCACAAGGAAGTTTGATGCGAAGCGCTTCGTGCGTGTGGGTGGGATATCTACCATGAATCGGTGACGCTCCGCCGATTGTCTTGTGGTACGATGATGATGTGATAAACATTATTTATGGCAAATTCTTTTTCAAGAGTTCTGAGGTGGCTCATGGGGTAGTAGTAGACTATTACACATTGTTAATGAGGTCTAGTTAGTCTAATCAGTTAAATAATTAATTTTTTTCTGCCATGAATAAAGTGCTTACACAAAGAGATAGCCACTGCCCTATTCATGTAAAATGTGTAGATTCTTAAGTTCGTAACTTATTTGTAAGAACATAAGAAACTATACGTTTGACTATAGGAACTTAACTTAAGAAACTATACATTTTACAATAAATACTTTAGAAACTATACATTTTATACAATAAAAACTTAAGAAACTATACATTTTATACAATAAGAACTTAAGAAGCTATACATTTTACTACGTCCACGTGAAGAATAAATATGGTGATATGATAAACACATTCCATTCTACAACCAACAAATCGTTCATGAGCCACAATCTAAAGTATGTAAGGTGAAATAGGTATATAATATAATTAGCCATATGACATCAACATATTAATTATAACCGTCATACGGAAAAACGTTTCATTAATTTAGTCCCATTTATTGTACCTACAAAAACAATGGTATTTGCACAATGGGACCTACGTATGTAGGTATCATATCATAATATTATTTTCCTTAAAGAAACTGGCACATGATTTTATTTTTAATAAATAAAATTTTATATTTTGTTCATTAGTATATGGATACTTTTGTAAAATTTTAGGTTTAAAAATATACAAATTCATGTATGCACCCAGACCCATTACAAAAATTTGGAGTTTCTTGCTCGTTCTTCTCCATTCGAATCTACACTTTGGAATGAATAACTAGCTTCACTGACGGACAGACTGACAGACTATTATTTATTTTGTATTTGTTGACGTTTCAAAAGTATCCAATTATTGTTACAAAAATAAAATAAATGTTTTGACTTTTGAATTTTGTGGACCAAATAGAGTTCTTTGTTCTGTGTGTGTGTGTAATTATAATATTTTAAATTATTAACTTTGGTCATTTAAAAAAATAGTTTTTACTGTATATTTTAATGGATTTTCAGGATCACCTACTATTTCCCACTATGATTGCGATGACGCATCACGACCGGGTTGTGGTTATTATTTATGAAACAAATAAAACAAGTCACAGGCAGAATGAGATTATCAAGAACTTTTGAACAATAACTTAAATATTATATAATGTAATAATATAACTTAAATACAACACGTCGTGTTTTTTAATTCGCGAGACATGTACCACTCTATTACTAACATGTTAACAAAATACTACACTAAGGGATGATACAGAGTATAAAAATTTAAATCTAAATAGTCCCGGCAGTTAGGTACCTAATGAAAAACTATTAGACATGTGTTTTTTTTTATTTTGTCATACAAGAACACAATATTTAGTTAAAACAAATCAAATGTTTAGAAGTGGGAGCAAAAAGGTCATTTCTACGTACAAATCGTCCCTAGAAGTGACGTCACATAATATTTCAAATCACTATATCGAAGAAAGTATTTGTCTCTGTAAAAAAAAAGTACGATTTAGATTTTGTTCTACTATCTACTGAAACTTTTCTAAAATTAAAAACTTTGTGTGGGAGAACCATGCTTAGGCACCAATGGGCCGTGTCGACCGGAGCGATACCACGGCCTCACAGAAAACCGACGTGAAATAACGCTTGAATTGTGCTTCTTCGTGTGAGTGACGTTAGCGGAGTACTCCAATTTCCCCACTCCCTGAATTCCCAACAATCCTCAAATTCCTAATCCCCAAAATGCCGATAACGAACTGGTAACGCCTCTGATGTTTCAAGTGTCCATAGGCGGCGCTGATTTCTTACCATCAAGTGACCCGTGGGCTCGTTTACCGGCTTATCCCATAAAAAAAAATCACTACAGATTTCTTAACCAAAGAATAATTGAGATGGTGATTTAACTAAGTTAAATACCGGGAAACAATTGTATTAAATACGTTGTACATTAATTCAACAAATATCCTGTCAAGTTGAGGAAATATCGATATAAACTTATGCCAGTAACATACAAATTAAAGCGAGGTTTGTACGTTTTCTCGTCACATTCGTAATTACAATATCTTACAGGTTTGTTTGTGCGGAATAAATGTTAATCTAAAAAAATAGTTTTTGTGTCTATTCTATTCATAATTATTATGATGACTAACAGTGTCGTTTTAAATTATATATTTATGTTGTGTTAAGTTTGTGTAGCAATAAAGGAGAAATATGAAAGGTAAGAGTTTAATAATCATTTTAATATTAACTCGAAATTTTCTGTTACCCTTCCCTGATATGATAGTACAATTACATACAACCTAATTTTCATAGGTAAGTACTACACATTTCACAACGCATTCATGATTCTCTGGTGTTTCAATAATTTTGTTTACCTTATTACTTGAAAATCGCACATAAAGGTATATTTATGTTGTACCTATATAATAAAAATACTTATCCTGTTCAACAAAGTGGAATTCAATTCGAGTGCAATATTTTAAACTGTGATTTTTAACTAATGATAATTAAGTGGATTATTTAAGCTGTGCATTTGTACCAGTATGAGCACCCTTTATTTTTTGTAGATCTTGTAGTGCTCAAGCCTTACCCATTGTATTAAAATAAATGCAAAAGTAGGTATCAACAATAAGCTACGAGTTCCATGCGCCATTGATTGCGCATGAACTCTTTGACCTCTTTCGTCGTGATTTATGTAACTTGGTAACTTTAGTAAATAGGTATCTAAATGTAATAAATTAATTTTTGAGTAATGACATTAGTATTGTTATTAGAACCTTAGTTTAAATTATCACAACTTCAACTTCACTTAAATATAGTAAGCACCGCTATTTACTATGCAAGTAATCTATATATATAAAAGAAAGTCGTGTTAGTTACACCACTTTTATCTCAAGAACGGCACAATAGATTTGGCTGAAAATTGGTAGGGAGGTAGCTTAGAGCCAGGAGACCGACATAGGATACTTTTTAACCAAATTTTTTTTTTACTTTTTTCCGAAAATCACGAACTTGGACGGGAAAAAATGGGATGGTACGCGTACGAAGTCGCGGGCAGAAGCTAGTAAACTATAGATAGACTTACAGAGACTTTAGCTATTGTTATACTAAATTATTATTCGGACTTTTTAATAAAGTCACCTCTTCTGTAACCATTGGTCTGTTCAGTAACCAACCAATGTGTTGAATCATTTTCTATTTTCTTACCTACATAAATAGCTGTGACGTGTTCATACATAAAAAATATTTACGAAATAAAAATATCATTGTTTAAAACTTTGACCCGTTTTTTGCCACTAAGAGTATCTACCTGAAAAACCCATAGGATGTCACTACTAACAACAAATACACCGAACAGGGAAAATAATATTTCCTGTGCATAGATCGCGGAACATAATTAGCTATTCTAAATATGGAAGCACGCTTCTTTTGTCATTCTTACTGGAAATCTGTCCTTGTTTGTAATTCTAGGAAACTATTACGTATACATAATTATATCTAAACTGAGGCTTCGTAAGCACACGTAATTGGTACGTACTAATCAACAGTGAAACGCGTCTCAAAGTGACAGCAGCGCCATCTCGGGTTAAAGCGATTTGTAATTAGAATTAAATAAATTCGAATTGTTAAATTGTTTTTTTAAGATTTAGAGTTCGAAGAATTAAAACTGTTATCTTTTCATACGAATCCGAGTTATAATTATGACGCAGGCATCCCATTGAAAACCTGCATAATTCTAAAATCTTTAGTGACTTAACCGCGATCCTTAAACATGCAAAGAAAGGAGGTCATCATTGGAGATTACGGATCCGCGAAGAACTTAACGGGTTACCGGAGCTCCGGCTAGAAGGGTTAGGAGTAGGAACGGAGTGGTTTTTAGTCAGTAAGAGTCTGACACTCCCTCCCGCCTCACCCAAGCGGGAGAAGTCATTCGATGATTTTCCCCTCTTAAAACAAAAATCATTGGAGGTTATCATGAAAATGTCTTTCGGTTAATAGAAATGCATTTTTTACAGACAGAAAAATGTTAAAGATCTTGACGCTGGTTCAAGTCCTACACTTAGCAGCTGCTACCATGTTCTTCCACGAGCCATCTAGTGTGATTATCAAACCCGAAGTAAAAGTACGCAACACAGATTTTGGATTCTCATTCGCTTTCAATAGTAAATTTGGAGGTTTATGTAAGTTATCGCTGTATTTTTGAAAATTATCCAATATAATTACCATTATACTTTGAGATATGAAAATGAACATGGTTTTCTAAAAAAAAAATTGGAAACCCCATCTAAATCTTGTAGATGACTTGGCTGACGCCATATTATCTTTTTATCCGACCATAGGTAGGAATTGTTTTCTTTCTCCAGTATATTTTTCTCTTACTAGAGTTATAAAAATAACTTGGTGGCTTGTATTTAGATTTTACCAGTTTTATTTTGCTATATATACTAGCATGACTCTACACCGACCTTTGTCAATTCATATTGCCAAAATTGTTTCTGCATTACACAATACACATTTCTATCATAATTTTACAGTAGTTGGTGCCCCAACAGAGGACAATGTGGGAAAATTGTACAATTGCAATCTAAATTTAGCATTCAACGAAAGAGAAGTTAATTGCTCAGATTACCTAATAGAAGTAGATGAGCCAGAATATGAAAATGGTACGTAAAATCTATATACATCTATACAGATAAATAAAATTTTAAAATAACCGATTTTTACTACATACATTATGTATACGATACATGTATCAAAATCTTTTACAATTTGTATGTCTGTTTGTAAAAGGATTTTATTATATTTATTTTTTAGATCGTTGTCCCAATCAACGGTTTTACTTGGGCGCGTCGATATCCGCTGCTTTGGATTACGCCTATGTGAGTATCAAAACGTGAAAGAAAAGGAAAAATCGTAGCATGAGACCACATAGTTATTGTTTCTTTTACTTGTTTTTAGACTTGCGCCCCCATGTGGACAACGAATTTCACGTCATCAAACGAAGAAATAAGAGATGTTTTCGGAACATGTTTCGTTTATAAAAGTATAGGTCCAACTCGATATCAAGGTACCTTGGAAAAATTCTTGGACAAAAAAATCACATTGACTGATACTGGTAAGTGTGTTAATTGTCTTTTTCTCATTGTTTTGAGGAGCATTTCCTCCTGCCCTGGTCTAGGCGAGAGGGAGTGTCAGACTCTTACTGGCTAAAAATCACCCGGTTCCAACTCGTGCCCCGAACCGAACTGCTGTATGTCGTCGCACTTATCCCGAAATAAGTTTAAGGCGAGATCTGAAGCATAACTACTTCAGAATTTTTGTATTTAGAGGCCACGATTAAGGGACAAGGGGAAATTTACACAAAATTAATAATGTTCAAAAAGACCGATAAAATTCCCATACATTTTCTTGGGTTGGGCGACAAAAGGTTTTTCAAATCACTTAATAATATTAAGGAACCATAATTTTAAAATTTGTTAAGTAGAAAGAATCGAAACTCGGATACAAACTGATGATGATAGAGGCGAAGATTATGATAAAGTTGTAAATTATTTTGTATGCTTTCCAGATGCAATCACAGGAGGCACTGGATGGACTACTTTAGCAGATGACATTAACGGACTATTGCTCACTGTAAAAACTTCGCTGTATGGAGACATTTTGTATACGCCGTTGTCAAAACCTACAGCAGAAACCAAATCTTTAGCGGCAGTGCAAAGGAATCGTATATTTTTATCAAACCGTTGGAATATAGGTAAGGCATACGATAATTACAAAGAGAATCAAATTATATAAATATACACTGCATGACTTTCGCAGTGGGTAGGCTACGCGTTACCGTGGGATGTGTAATGGGTTCAAATTCAAATCCCATACGAAAAATTATGTTTGTGCTCCACTATTGATAGTCGAAAATTTGTATTTATAATGAACGTACGATAAAATAAAACCCCAGAGTGCGGCCACTTATTAAAGACAAAATGAAAATATGACATATTTTTAACAAAAAGTTTTATTAAATTCCAATTAAACACCGAATCTGGTCTAACTGATCCACCCTTATTGCTACTTTTCGAAGTGTTCATACAGTTCTTTTTTTCAGGCTATGCTGTCACTGCTGGTAAATTTTTTTCTAGCGTTACGATGTATGCATTCAGTATGGAAAGTAAAAACATGGAAGGCGAAGTGAGTAATAAAATTAATTAGTGTATTTGGAAAGTCGATTACAAGGTTAAAGAACAAATACCCTCAGAATAAATAGGCTCAATACTGTTTAATAAATTTCCTAAAGTTTTTCATATAATCTATTATATTACTACAGGCAACGCCTTGCTCAGCAGTCAGACTTAGTCACGTAGTCAACTAAGATGGTGGCACCTATTTTCTTCTTTCAGATAGCATTTTTGAAATACAATTCCGTACGAAATTCACTATATTTGTTGAAATACAAAAATACTATATTGACGTTGGTAAATAAAGCAATCGGCGCCATGTTTGGCTCAGCTCTAAGTGCTAAGGACCTCAATATGGACGGTCTTGATGAACTGCTTGTGGGTGCTCCTGCGTTGTCTGATGATGAGTGCTATGAATGTGGAGCTCTGCACATATATTTGGGAGGAGACCAGGTATTTACTAAAATCATAACCTACTAGTATGGTAGTGAATGCTGACATAACATTATCAACAAATGGAAAATGAGGAACCGATTTTCTTTTAAATTCCTGAATTGGACACAGCATGTGTTACTAATAATGAACTTTAAACCCATAGATTACAGATGTAAATTTTCAATATTTGTTTGTATTTAATTAATCCTTCAAAAGCAAAATTTTACTTTATGTGTATTTTTAACGGTTTGTTCACAGGCAACAATAAATGATCGAAAAAGACAGCGAACTATACTGGGTACCTCTAGCTTTGGCCGATTTGGTTCAGCGATAGTCGGAAACGATTTAGACGGTGATAACAAGTCAGGTTAGTGAATATCTCCCTTTCCCGATTAGAATTTAAGTCTTAGTAAGATGACGGCAGGCAAAGCAAGCAGATCAGAACCAGACTCGAGCACATCGCGTTACATGCGCGCCTGTAAGACCCACCAGACCACCACATTTCATCATTCCACACGGAGAAAGTTTGAGCATTAATCACCACGCTTGCTCAATGCGGGTTGGCGATTACAAACTTATAATTAGAAATTAGGTATAAGCCCTGGTTTCCTCTCGATGTTTTCCTTCACCGTTTGTCAGTGGTGTCTGAATAATCTTAAAAAGTACATATAACTCGGAAAAAGTCGGTAGGGGTGATGCCGACACGGAGCTGCGGAGAACGTAAAAGATTACCGGGGCTCCGGCTTGAGGTGCAGGAGTAGGAACGGTCTGGTTTTTGGTCAGTAAGAGTCTGACACTCCCTCCCCCCTCACCCGACGAGAGAACTAATACGATGATTTTCCCCCTTAAAAAAAATATTAACACGATTTTATTAATATAGTATGTACATGGAACAAATACCATCAGCTACTTTTAGTATTTCTATCATAATAATGCAATGCCAAAAGCAAATAATCTTCAAATAGCTCATGCTAAAATTGGACATAATATTCTTACAGAAATAGTGGTAAGTGCTCCATACGAGAACGAAGGTAAAGGAGCCATCTACATACTGTCAGGTCACGAGATCTACAACGTACTGATGAAGGTCCAGGATTATAAGACCATACCGCTATCAGAACTGAAGCTGACGCAGAGGATTCAGAAAGAAGAATATAGAACGCTTGGGTTCAGTCTCCAATTCGTTGAAGATGTAGATGTCAATGGGTGTAAAGGTAAGACAATGCATTTTTATGGCGATTATGAAAGTTATGAGCATCGTTTATTATCTAAGAGGTCTACGTGTAAGACCCCGAAAAATACCGGCAAACGCAACGTACGGGTCACTTAACCGTCACGGTTCCAACCCAGCAAATAACTTGTCATTTCAATTTGAACCTTACATCTTATGTCACATGACATATTTCATAACGTCAATATAAAAATTCTCTAATGTGTAAGTTTTTATATTGGTTCCAAAGCAAAAAATGCCGTGACAGAGCCGTGCCTGGTTGTTGTGTTAATAATTGAACAATACGGAAGTCACTGAGGCAAGGTCTAGATTTAGCAGTGGCTTCTTTGTTTTTTTTATGGAATAGTAGGCAAACGAGTAGACGGATCACCTGATGGTAAGCGATCAGCGCTGCCCATGGACACCCGCAACACCAGAGGAGTTACAGATGCGGCCTTTTAAAAAGGAATACCCTCTTTTCTTGAAGGTTTGAAGGTCGTATGGGTTCGGAAATACCACCGACGACAGATCATTCCACAGTTTTGCTGTGCGAGGTAGAAAGCATCGTGAGAAGCGCACAGTTGTGGCCTGTCAACCAGCTATATGGTGGGGATGCATATGCTAAACATTTTTAACAGACATGATACTGATGATATCAGTCGCATGTTATAATGGGGGTGCCTATTGTAACAGATATAGACCGTTTTCCCTTGACTGACAAAGTATTGCCATTAAATATTTTTAAATCTCATTTGACAGAATTGGTAGCTGGATCACCGAGTAGTGGCACAGCGATATTCTTCAAATGTGTCCAGAAAGTCACAGTAACTCTTTCCAGCAGCCTAATTGGAGAACAGGTATTATTAATTTTGCAGGACAAAATCTTTATATTTTTTATGGCATAAACCGGTAAACGAGCAGACGGATCACCTGATGGTGAGCAATCGGCGTCGGCCATGGACACCGAGAAGACCAGAGGCGTTAGAAGTGCGTTACCGGCCTTTTGGGGATTAGGAGTTTGAGGATCGTTGGGGAATCAGGAATTGGGCGAGATTGGGGAAGAAGAGGGTAATTGGGCCTCCGGAAACCTCACTCACACGACGAAACAGTTGTGTTTCGTCGTGTTGCGTTGGCAAGCATTGCTTCACGTCGGTTTTATGTGAGGCCGTGGTATCACTCCGGTCAAGCCGGCCCATTCGTGCCAAAGCATGGCTCTTCCACACTTAATATCAATCTCATAAACAAATTATCTTGTATTAACGTTTTATTTTCGCATTATGCCAACAGATTGTAAAAGAACAAGACGAGAAATTCGTAGTGAATGTCTGCGCACGAGTGCAACTACCTGAGTACCCAATGTACATCAATGCATGTAAGTTTCTTTCTTTTTTTTATAAAACGTTGCCCCACACTAGGATTTTCTCCTGTATCGTGGGAGCGTTTACAAACATACAAATTCACATACATTATATATAGTTATATAGCATCTGACTATACCTCGTACTGAATTCAACCTTATGGTAATGGGTAAAGACACAAATTGTTGTTCCGGGTCTAGGTGTAATGTGTATGTGAATGTATATGATTGTGAACGCACCCACAACTCAGGAAAAAATCCTAAGCCATGAGATAACACATTTTTAGGGATAAATATATACAACTTAAAATTAACTAAAATTAAAACAGTAAACAAAAACAAGAAGAAGAAAAAAAATAAAAAAAAATACCTTCAATTAGGCGTCAAAGTACTCGTCTGCATTAGGGGACCATTCCCACAAGACTGGCAGCATTACCACGTTTAATGCTTATTTTCTATCCGAAGAATAGTCAGCCCTCTTGTCACGTGTAGAATCGATTAGTCTACAGGCAATTTCTTTATAAACAGAATGTGCACTGGGATCCCATGGCCTATGTGATTCGATCCCAAACGGCTCAAATAGTAGTTACCTACTAGATTTGATTATTTACTCCGATTGAGGGTAGCTGCCGTGGAAGCGGTCGCATGCAGCGGTAGGTACTTAAAAGATGTGATTACGCATGGGTATCTACAGACACCGCGTCCCACTCCAAAGGCCTACCCATCTTCCGAGACAGTAACGATATAACATCCGGTATCTCTTGCCATCACCATCATCACGTACAAGCCCATTAGACTCTAATACGGCTGGTACGCCGGCTGGGGCAAGAGCACGACTGCACGGTTGGGCAACCGGCTCCCGTGCAACGTGTCGCGGGTTCGATTCCCGCACGGAACAACACTTTGTGTGATCCACAAATTGTTGTTTCGGGTCTGGGTGTCATGTGTATGTGAACTTGTATGTTTGTAAACGCACCCACGACACAGGAGATAACCCTAGTGTGGGGCAACGTTTTTTTTTTTAAAAAAAAGGATGTCGTTAATGCTTCGGCCGTATATACTAATTCTATTTTTTTCTTAACAGATATAACAGTATCCAACACCATCGTAGGTCAGGCAGCAACCATTCCTAATCCAGATTTCAAACTAGATATTACCTGTACCGGCTGTTCAAGGGACGAACTGCTTTGTAAAAACGTTACAGTGCTACTGGTAATTATGATTTAATTTTGGGTTACAATTCTAAAAATGACAACTAATATACAAAAAGAAACAAAGCGATACGGTGTCTACACAGATAGTTACATTATTTGTTTGATAAGGGACATAGCACACAGTAACAGCATAGACACGGCTCGGAAGATTGACTGCACGGTTGGTGCGGTGGCTGGGCAACCGGCTGCCGTGCAACGTGTCGCGGGTTCGATTCCCGCAGGGGACAACAACAACAACAACTTTGTGTGATCCACAAATTGTTGTTCCGGGTCTAGGTGTCATGTGTATGTGAACTTGTATGTTTGTAAACGCACCCACGACACAGGAGAAAATCCTAGTATGGGGCAAAGTTTTTTTTAAAAAAAAAAGTATATCGGACAAAAAATCTGGGCACAGCCTTGAAGCTGTGCCGATTAAGTGTAATATGGCCTTCAAAGTCAAAGTCAAAGCATTTATTTCAATTACAACATAGTTTGGTAATAGTCTGTCAGTCAGTCCGTCAGTGAAACTAGGTGCTCAACAGGTGCTTTAACAGGAAACTTATAACCAGCCCACAATAGGTGTGCAGGGGCAGTATAGCAGTAAACAAAAATAAGTTCTTTAAAAAAAAAATAAGTCCGGTTTGACACTTGACAATGCAGTTGTGTTAAAAGCCCACTTTTCTTTATTTATCTTCGATCGGATATAACGTCATAAAAGATCGATTTATTCAATTGTTTTCCGATACATTTGTTTTATTGCGAGCCTCTCCCGAAGATATCAAACAGTCGTAGAATTAATTAAGTTACGTAAGTGGGTTCGATATCAAGAAATAATTCGATAAGAATGTGATATCGTTAAATTCTATATTATTATTATTATTATAAAGGAAGTACTACTTGACAAATTGCATTGACATTTTAGCTAAATATCAATTTGTCAAGAATTGACTGCCTCATTGGCCGAGTGGTCGCTAGTGCGACTGCCGGGCAAGGGGTCTCGGGTTCGATTCCCGGGTCGGGCAAAGTATTACTGGGTTTTTTAATATTCTCAGTAGTAGCACGGAGTCTAGAATTTTGCCCGGTATATGGCAATAGGCTCACCACCTATTACATGGGACTCATAACATAAATAGTGAAAAGTGGGTGTTATATTGTACAGTGGTATAATGTGCACCTCTGCCTACCCCTTCGGGGATAAAAGGTGTGATGTTATGTTATGTGTTATGTTATTTTAGCTAAATAGCTAGTAAATACTAATAGCCACTAAAATAAATAAGTATGGTATGATTTCTAAAATTATTTTTATACAATTACAGCAAGACAAAGAACCTGGGGACTACAAGTTCCTTTCCCATGCAGAAATAAGAAACGATTATCTGATGCGTCCTAATAATTCAGGTTGGTAGTAATTTGTTTAATAGAACAAACCCCACACGCTATGGTTGCGCAGCTTGTTCATTGTGCCGTAACGTATTAGATTCGCACTCGCTTCGCTTTGAGAACGCTTGCAATCCGCCAAGGCCCTTAGGCTATTATTATAGACTAGCTTCTGCCAGCGACGTCGCCTGCGATCACAGGGGTAAAATGCCTTTGTATTACTTCAGACCATATTAATACCTCTGTTCCGAATTTCATTCCGGTTTCTTCAGTCGTTTTAATATGACTGAGTAACAAACACACACAAACACATTTTCACATTTATAACATCGGTTCAAGCTAATTTCAACCATCGGCCCTACAGTTACAGCGTAAAGTCCACTGCGGACAACCTAACATATTTTTTTAGCATTTTTAGCATAAGTATCGATCACTAATCACCCCCTGAAAGTAATTTTGTAAATATATTTCATGTGCAGAATTGACCTCTCTACAGATTTATTATAAAGTATAGATAGTAAGATAGAAGATATGAAATGAAGGAACCCCTACCACTTACGCATTGCACTTTCATTAATAGTATTTCATCTTAGACTTATTGATGTTGAGAGCAATAAATGAATATTATTATTATAGTTGCCTACTAAACCATGCAATAATAGGGATGATGACAAGGTATGAAAATTAAAAATATAATTAGTCCGTAAGTTAGATAATGAATAAAATATTAGACACGTATTTTTTTTTATTTTGTTGTTTTATAATTAAACAATACTTAGATAAAACGAATCATAGTTTTATTTATTATTATTTCTACCTACTTTACATGTTCTGTGTTTCTACGTATAAAATGTACATAGAAGTGACGTTTCAAATCAATATATCGTCGAAAGTATTCGGTTCTGTAAGAAAATAAAAAACGTGTTTAATGATTTAAAATAATCTACCAGACAGGCATCTACCCTATTGTAATATCATTGGTGATAACATTTTTCATCACTGTTAGGTCTATGGACTGTCATAATGGTAAAGTCATAGTATAAAGACTTTATACTATGGTAAAGTGAAGGTTAAAAGTATTAAGTCATTTTGTAAATATAACTGAGGGTATGCGATATTTTCTGTTAACTAACCTAATTGCATAAATTAGATACGAACAAAAATGTATGGATCCAATTATTTTATTTTGTGAAATTGACTAGCGTAATTGAGTACCTACTTGCTAACTAGTCAAATTCAATACTTTTTTCGAATTGTAAACCACAGTTTACTATAAATTTTGTACGAGATTGTGTATTGTGACGTCACGTTTTTTAGCGTCAAACAGCATACTTATTTCTTTAAAATTAGCTGGAAAAATACTAAAATTAAGTTGGTCATAAAATCAATTAACGATGTTGTAATTATTTTTTATGAAGGCAAGTACCCGCAATGATCGAAATAGATTGGTCATTTCTAACTTCATTTATTGTGATTTTTAACAGAATTCAACTCGTCGTGGGTCTTAGGAGGTCCCAACAGCAAATGGGATACCAGTATAGATGTACCCCGACATTGTAATGGAGATGATTGTATTCCTAATCTGACCATGAAATTACTATGGTCTGGCAGGTAATAAGTTAATATACTTACCTAGATAGTAACATAATTATATAACTATTCTACTAATATGAAACTAAACATAACATAATATAACATCATGCCTTTTATCCTCAAAATGGTAGGCAGGAGGTGTACATTATGCCACTGTACAATGTAACACCCACTTTTCACTATTCATGTTATGAGTCCCATGTATTAGGGGTGAGTGCGACTGCCGTACAAGGAGCCTTGAGTTCGATTCCCGGGTTGGCAAAGTATTACTGTGCTCTTTTATAAAAAGTCTCAGTAGTAGCACGTAGTCTGGAATTGGGCCCGGTATATGGCAATAGGCTCACCCATTACATTACATTCGACTCATAACACAAGTAGTGAAAAGTGAGTGTTACATTGTATAGTGATATTAAGTGCCGTAATCTGCACCTCTGCCTTTTCGGGGATAAAAGGGCGTGATGTTATGTTTTCCAACGCCGCCGGGCCAGATAAATTATATTAGAGTATTGATTTAGAATATTTGACAATTCTTCCATTGACACAGTCAATTTTATTGTAAAGTTAAGAATTAAGTATGTGTAGATTGAAAAATAGGCTAGTACTATAGTACTTAAAAATCGACATTTGTATTTATTTATGAATTTATAAGGATATAATTAAAAAATAACTATATATTTTTAGCGAAAATTACACCGTGGGGTCATCTGCAAATGAATCAGTGACAATCAATGTGAGGAATGATGGGAATGCGTCTTATGATTCCTGTGTTTGGGTGAAAGTGAGCGGAGTGGCACTGAATCGAGGCGACTGCGAGGATTACAATGGAGGGTACAAATGCTACCTAGACCGGCCTATGAGGCGAGAGACTGATGTAAGAATATTATTCTATTTCTTTTTTTAATCAACACGAAAATAATTATTCAAATCAGACTTGTACTTACGGAGATTAGCGCGTTCAAACAAAAAAACAAACTCTTCCGCTTTATATAATAGTATATAAGTATAATTTAAATAGTATAATAAGTAAATTTTAAGATAATTGTAAAATTATTATTTGAAGTAGTAAAAATTAATAATGTTTATTACATTTTCAGTGCACAATAAGACTGCTCCTGAACATGACAACGGTTACAAATATTGAAAAAGAACTGCAAGTCATTGTTAAACTTTATGAGATATGTAACCAAAAACTAATTACTACTGACAACATAACTATTCCATATATATTAAACTCAAGCGACATTTCATTGAGTGGGTGAGTTTTATCGCAAGTATAATTTGCTTCTTCAAATAAAATCAAGTCTTATTGAGAAATAAATTAAGCCTATTGTTAAAAAACTAGATTCTACATTACTATGTGTATATGAACTTGTATTTTCGTAAACGCCCTCACAACATAGAAGAAAATTCTAGTGTGCGGCAACGTTTTAATAAAAACTGACACCAAAATATAAAACTGATACTTAAACAAGTGCTCTTCAGCTGAAATCCAATTTTAGGATTTTACGCACGCTACACTACTTATAGTATAACTGTATAGTCGAACTGTACAGTAATCGTAAAATGAGTAGAGCAGTTGAACTGTACAATTTTAACTGAAGGTGTGTAGTCTATGGACCTTAATTTGAATTGTACAGTTTGCCTGTAGTACAGTTCGACTGTACTCTTAAAACTGCACAGTTGAATGGTAAGGTAATGGTATGTGTAGCGCACATATTCCAAGAGGCAGTATTACATATTACATAACATCACGCCTTTTATCCCGAAGGGGTAGGCAGAGGTGCACATTATGCCACTGTACAATGTAACACCCACTTTTCACTATTTATGTTATGAGTCCCATGTAATAGGGGGTGAGCCTATTGCCATATACCGGGCACAATTCCAGACTCCGTGCTACTACTGAGATTTTTTTTAAAACCCATTAATACTATATGTTACAATCATGGAAAAAACATTACACTCCTCTTTTGAACAGTCGTGTAAGAAAGCACTAACCTACTAACTAAAGCAGTCGAGCAAAACTGTCACTATAAGATTTTTCAATAAAAATATTCCTTTCCAGCTATGCTCACAAAATGAATATCACTGACAAACAGATAAGAGACGCTGATACTGTGTATGATGACCACGAATACGTGGTAAGTGACTAGTTTACTATAATTAGATAGTTTCCAGGTTATCAAAATTAAAAATCTAATTAGTCCGTCAGTAAGACAATGAAAAAATAGAGGTATTAGACGCGTATTTTTTTTGTTTTCTCGTATTAAGTTGCAAATTATTTAGATAAAACGGCGCTAAGTTTAGGAGTGGGAGGTTGATACGTCATAACGTGCTACACAATGTGGCACACGGTGACGTCACACGATATTTCAAATTAATATATTGTCGAAAGTGTTTAATTTTGTGAGAAAAGAAAAAATACGTGTCTAAAGTTTTAATATAATGTACTAGACGGACATTTAAATAAAATTTAGGAAACTATCCTATTCATGTATACTTTACTAACAATATAATTAGGAATTAGTCAATTTGAGTATGGGACATTAAAACACGATTAAAATTAATAATACACAACATAACATCACGCCTTTTATCCCTAAAGGGATAGGCAGAGGTGCACATTACGGCACTTAATGCCACTGTATAGTGTAGGACCTACTTTTCACTATTTAACATACAAAACAACTTTAACAGACGGCAATTATTATTATTTTTTACTTAAAATATTCCCGTCTTATATCATTTTGAGACCTGCAATTTCAAAACTTTTACCCATACTTTAATTCCTAATATTGGACATATATACTTACAGTATTGCAATATGTATCAGAGACATTGTAGAACATACTTTTTTTAAAAGAGTAACGAATGGAGTTTCTTGCTCGTTCTTCTCCATTCGAATCTATATTTTGGAATGTGAATGTGAAGATGAAGCTAGGTCTTCATCTAGCTTCACCGACGGACTGACTGACAGACTATTATTTATTTTGTATTTGTTGACATTTCAAAAGTACCAAAATATGGTTTAATTAAAATAAATGCTTTGACTTTGACTAATACTGCTTTTAACTCTATCTAGATTCAAAACCGCGGTTTCATGACTTGGAAGAAGGTCGAAATGGAAATTAAAATGAACAAACTTGAATATTTGAAGTATTTTAATGTAAGTACCTATATTTCAGTTATCAATAATTTTGTCCTCTAAAATCTTGTTTTTTTTTTAATAATAGATAGATTTGTGTATTAGAAAATGTAGCACCCAGTAATACCTATATATGGCAGTGGTTGTCAATCGGTTGACCGCTAGTGGTCCATCCACTATTGAGACCCAGAATATAAAAATGGTCTACAAAATAAAAAAAATACACTAGACTGTTTTATTCGTATATACAGGCGGAAGAAGTCATTCAATGATCCCCCCCCCCCCCCCGTTAAAAAGACTTTTTATTATATTCACTGTGATGGCATTTGCCTACCTACTAGTTAAAGCTCGATTTGAAAATATGCCAAAGTACCTTAATTTCAATAATCCAAAAGTCTACTGTTTTTGTGAGTGAATGAGAACATTTTAGGTTAGCGTGCAACCACATGAAACATTAAAGTGGTGGTCCCTAACCTAACAAGGTTATTATAAAAGTGGTCCTTGACCAGGAAAAGGTTGGGAAGTGTGGGAGAGTAACAGTGGTTTTGTGAGGTTGTGGCGGGCTTGTCCCATAAAAAAAGAAATTTCTGTACATATTTTTATTGGAACAGATATCAACAATGGATTTCGGCGTATGCGCAAATGAAGATGATACCTTATACATTGTCCACCGCTGCATTTTGGACATAATGCCAAACTCGACACAAGTGATTACTGGCACCGCTGAAATAAATGCTGGCAAACTGAGTAAGTATTTTTCATAGATATCTTGTTAAACTATGTACGATAAATAAAACTATTAAAAAGGCTCGAGAATCGAATTAATTCTATTATTTTCTTGATTACCTCGTTGGCCGAGTGGTCGCACTCGGCCTTGGGTCTCGGTCTTGGGGTCAATTCCCGGATCAGCCAAAGTATTACTGGGTTTAATAAAATTTTCAGTAGTACCACGGAGTCTGGAATTGTGCCCGATATATGGCAATAGGCTCACCCCCTATTACCCGGTATATTAGAGGTATATTCATAACATAAATAGTAAAAAGTGAATGTTACATTGTACAGTGGCATTAAGTCTCGTAATGTGCACCTCTGCCTACCCCTTCCGGGATAAAAAGCGTGAAGTTATGTGTTATTTTCTTTTCTTTTTCAGAAAATTATTTGGTAAATAAAAAGCTGATGACTAATTCTACAAGTACATTGTATTTGGACGAGAGATTGTCGCCATTTGGTACCCTGTAAGTCTAAACTTAGTCAATACTAAACTATGAGAGAGATATGACTTTAGTTCTTCATAACAATGTGATCATTATTTTATGTCCCACGAAAGAATAAGCAGAAACGAATCTACAGTAGACTTATAATAACTATCGTGAGACATACTACATCAACAAAAATCGCGGGTACTCACGTGACAGCGATGTCCCGCAGCTTACGAGAGCCTACAGCAGCACAAACCGCGCACGCTGCTCATGAGGAAGAACCCCATGTGTTGTTCGAAACTAGTAGAGCTGTTCTCATTATATTCACGTTAGGAACCCGCGATTTTTGTTACTACAGTAGACTTGCGATACTATTTCTAAGTTTCCATAAGAGCTACTGATATAATTGAAACTGGTCTCCAATGAAATAATTATTTTGCTTTTTGCATTGCTACCATCTATTTTTTCTGTGTTTCGTCTTTACAGCCATATGAATGATTAATTTTTATATCATTGTCAATGTCTTTCTGTTTCAGAGTGAACAACGAAATCCCAATAGTGCAAGAAATCACGTTAGGCAGTAACAAACTATTGATTTCTTTGATAGCACTTTTGGTGGCGCTCATACTATTAGCAATCATCACATTTATTCTTTATAAGGTAATTTCATTATTTCTTATTATATTTTCGAGCCAATAAGATTTTTGTTTATATATTATCGGTACTTTGAATACGTCAATGTCTATAGACGTCGTGGTAGGCTTAGATGGAGATGGTGGGATAAACTTGATGCCTATGAAAAGGATTGGTCACAGACAACGATAAGAAGAGATGAATGGAAAGAGGGTAGGGATACCTTTGCTCAGCAGTGGGACGACTATGGCTAAAAATAAACCTAATCGAATAAATCACAAAGCAGAATATAAGTTAGCTACATCTTTTGTATCGTTTAGAATTTAAAAACATCCTCGGGTGAAAAAATTAGTAAATGATCTCCACTATGCCCTCTGTTTGGTTTGATCCATACTTTAATGGACACTTAACTTTTTAATCCTCGATTATGAAAACTCCACAACATTAGTTCATACAAAAGCAGTCTCTAAAAGTCTCTAAACATCGGAAATAAGGTCTGTAATAAAAGAGCGGTCACCGGTGACCACGCAGTCTAATGAGCACTGAAAAATCCAAAATTAAAATTGCACTTCGTACATTTAGGAAGTTAACTCAAGACTTCTAGCCCAGCAATTGCACTAGTCACCTCTTAACATTTATTAACTTGATCGCCATTTTGTTTCAGTATGGATTCTTTAAAAGAAAACAAAAGAAAAATCTTCTGATAGCTAAAGAGTCGGTGAGGAGACAGAGTATTGTAAGTACTCATATTTTTTCAATCAAATAAGAATTAAGTAGTCTGGAATTTATTTAAATATTTTTTATGGTATAAGCCGGTAAACGAGCATAAAAGCACGGATCACCTAATTATAAGCAATCGGCGCCGCCCATGGACATCCGAAACACCAGAGGCGTTACCGGCCTTTTTGGAATAAGGAATTTGAGGATTGTTGGGGATTCAGAGATTGGGAAGATTGGGGGAGGTGTGGGTCTCCGGTAACCTCACTGACACGACGTAACACAACGCAAGCGTTGTTTCACCCGATTGTATCACTCCGATCGAGCCGGCCCATTCGTGCCGAAGCATGATCCTCCCACACTTACAATGATTATTACAGTGATAAAATTATGATTGTTATTCTATGTACTGAAACTTTAACGAGGATCAATATCCTCGTTATAATTTTGAGGACCTCTATAGATTTAACAATTCTGTTACTTTTTATATGTATTTTTAGTTATCTATAATACCTATATTATTTTATTGCAGAAACGAAGTAACCATGCTTCAGCGATAGATGGACCAGCTGAAGGTGTAAGTATTTATAAAATCATTCAACTACAATCGTGTTACAATAAAAAAAAAATTAGTAAAAACGTACCCACACTACTTCTAATGCCGAAGTTGAAACTAGTAGAACTTTCATTCTCAGTACATTCACGTGAGTAAACCACGATTTAGTAACATATATTAAAATCATAGACAGTATTATAGTAGATGGGTTCAAATTCCAACACAACGAAATAACTGATTTTTATCTTATCTTAAATCTTATACTATTACATAAATCGGAAGAGTTTGTTTTTTTGTTTGTTTGTTTGTTTGAACGCGCTAATCTCCGTAACTACAAGTCCGATTTGAATAATTATTTTTGTGTTATATAGCGCATTTATCAAGGATGGCTATAGGCTATGAAACATCACGCTACGACTAATAGGAGCTGAGCAGAGCGTGTGAAACCGCGCGAAAGTAGCTAGTCAATAAATATAACTGTATTACTTATGACTCTTTTTCTCTTAAACAAAACTACTATTGCTACTAGAGATGATGAAGAAGCCTATAGAATGTTTGTTTTTATTTTCAGTTACAAATGGAAGTCGATGAAGACTCTCCCTTCGATAATCCACAGCCAGTGACCACTAAAGACAGCATAGGATTAGTTGAAGACAAACCTAAGTAACAATAAGGGAAAAAAATATATTATGTGCCAGTGCTTCTATATAAATAAATACTCTAACCTATTTTTTTAACAATTCATAGAATGTTTTTTTTTTCCAAATCGGTATCGGATACCCAAGTATCGACATCAATCATGTACTAAAGTGCATGGCATAATTATGTTTTTCACATCACCCGAATCGATTTTTTACCAGGCTAGTGCTTCGAATGATCAAACAGAATATCACCTGGTAAGTAATCAGCGACGCACATGGAAAATAATGAATTCCCCTAAAATAAATGTAAGAATGTAAGCATGGGAGAGCCATGCTTCGACATGAATGGGCCGGCTCGACCGGAGTGATACCACGGCCTCACAGTAGACCGACGTGAAACAACGTTGTGTTGTGTTTCGTCGTGTGAGTGAGGTTACCGGAGACCCAATTACCCCCCCCCCCCACTTCCCCAATCCCTGAATTCCCAACAATCCTCAAATTCCTAATCCAGAAGGCTAATATAACGCACTTGTAATGCCTCTGGTGTTCCAGGTGTCCATGGGCGACGCCGATTGCTTACCATCAGGTGATCAGTCTGCTCGTTTACCGGTTTTCCCATAAAAAAAATCTACCCGGAGATTGAGTCATTATACGTGGAGACAATTACATTTCCTTTATACGGGCAATTCCCATGTAATTGTATAAAGTAATAACATTATTGTACTGTTGTTATCAACAACTATATTGTTAGGTATCTTTTCATAAATCATGTACCTAGATATTATTACCATTAGATAATAAAAAATACTTTTCCTTCCTGTTAGTTAGTATGCTTTATTTCAATATTATTTATGTTAGATTTCTTATATTAGTAGGTTTATTTTAATGTATGACTGAAATTAATGGTCCTAAACAAGTGGTGATAATATTAAAAAAAGTGTGGGAGAACCATGCTTCTGTAGGCCACCGGCTCGACCGAATTGATATCACGGCCTCACAAAAAAAACAACGTGAAACAACGCTTGCGTTGTGTTTCGTCGTGTGAGTGAGGTTACCGGGGGCCTGACTCACCCCCCCCCCTCTTACCGCAATCTCCCCAATCCCTGAATCACTGACATTCCTCAAATTCCTAATCCCCAAAAGGCCGGTAACGCAGTTGTTACGCCTCTGGTATTCTTGGTGTCCATGGGCGACGCCAATAGCTTACCAGGAGGTGGTCTATCTGCCGTTTACCGGCTTATCCCATAAAAAAATTTATTTAAGAACACATGTTTTTATTCATTTTACTTTTCCAAAAGGTTACGACGAATCAATCATTATAAAAAAAGTTAAATGAATTTTACTGATACAACTCATGAGAAAGTGTTACTAGACAAAAACACCTTTAATCATTCAAAAAATTATATTTGCAACATATTTGTAAACTGCTTCTAGAAGTATCCCAATTTGCGCGCTTCAGAGACAAGCCCGACCATCATCTGTGTGACCTCATCTCCTTGTTCGTGGATCCTGCTGGCGGGCCACTGGAAGAATCTTCCTCGAAGCTCGTAAACATACACTAGGCGAGTGCCCTGGGTATACCTGACCCAATCTATACTACCTCCTGATGCCTTATCTGAAATAAAAGGTATGATAATGAAATCAACATTGAAAGTTTATAAAGATTTACAAAATTTGCTGACACACGGCCACCTGACCGCGTATTGTTATAATATATAGAATTACAATTGTAAGAAATTATGGCTAAATGTTGAGTAAGCCATGTCAAGGAAATGTATAATATATTTATTTATTTAAGTTTTATACAATGGCATTAGGAAGACTTAATGCTAACAGCATTCTCTGTCAGTCATCCCTTGGGTACACTCATTGATCTGCCGTCACTACTCGACACTGGCAGTATAGTCGACAACATCATATTGGAGACTCGGTTGCCAAAGAAGGGAACAAAAAAAACACTATGTACAAAATGTACCCAAACATTTTATTCATGTATTTATGGTATATTTTTGTCTATGATCGTTTATTTAATAATCCTCCATGTATACTGTCTGTTTAAGTGTTTAAACTGCAGTGAACTTCAGATATTCTTATTTCCAAATACTCAATCACTACTCAATTTTAAGTTGCGCTTAAGTATATTTGTGTCATTACACATTCTTGGAAAAGTGACAAAGATGACACGATATTTAAGTACTTAAAACTGAGTAAACTGAGTATAAGTAGATACAGTAGATTCATAAAAGAAATCAAACGGTCCTGTATACTTTCTTTTTTGTTTGATTAACGAATCAAGACTGGAATACCACCTATCTTCACTGACGGACAGACTATCAGTGTCACTATTACTTATTTTTTTAAATCAAGATGTTTGAAAAGTACCGGTTTACGATTGAATCTTTGATTTTGACTTTGATTTTGATTATAGCTCATAAATTTCAGTAATTGCTTGAGTACTTTTCAAGCAATAATTTAATTCAAAATTTAGTTACAGTTCAAAATATAGCACTTAAAAATCCTTACACAATATTTCTGAAGCTGTCCCGGGGCCACCGTACTTCGCTTTATTTACTGCATAACCGCGGCTGAGGGATGCATCTCCTATTTGTTTCTGTAAGGTTAAAAAGGTTGCAATACTATCATATATTAAAAGTTTGATAACTGAGCTAGAGAAAAAAAGAGAGGGAGATGGAGGGAGAGTCATGTTGCTGCACGAATCGGCTGGCTGGGCAAGGGGACTCGGATTCGATTCCCAGGTCGGGCAAAGTATAACTGGGTTTTTAAAAAAATGTGTTAGCGCGGAGTTTGGAATTATGCTCAGTATATGGCAATAGGATCGCTCTATATTACATAGGACTCATAACAGAAAAGTGGGTGTTACATTGTGCAGTGGCACTAGGTGCCGTAATGTGCACCTCTGCCTACCCCTTCCGCGAATAAAAGGCGCGATGTAATGTTAATAAAAAATATACCAAATCATCATAGTTGTCGATATGTTCGCTGGAATCGGAGTATGGTAGCAGCAACATTTGTGCATCAGCGTGGAATGCGATATACCCCAGCATGTTCTCCAGCCCTGATATATACTCCGAGAGAGTCCTGGTCTCAATCTCGGAGAATGGTTTAGAGCCACCATAAGTCTGGTAATTGCACGGATTGCTTGATGCACCGTAATCTGCAAAAATATATTTAACTTTAACCGATTTTCAACTGTATTACCTAGCTTTATAAAGTCGAAAATCCAAAAAAAAAAAAAAATTATAAATTTGGGTAGGTGGAACTGCTATACTATAATATATATTATAATGTTGACTTTGATATTTTATTTTAATAAAAACATGTTTTTATAATGACTATCTGGAGACATACTAAATTAATTAAAATCGCGGGTTACTCACGTGAATATACTGAGAAAAGCTCTACTAGTCTCGAACCACAGAGGGGTTCTTCCTCATGAGCAACGTGCGCGGTCGCGGCGATGTCGCGCAGCTCTCATTGTCTTTCTCAGTGTATTCACGTGAGTAACCCGCGATTTTAGTTAATTTAAATAAAAACAATTAAATTATAGGTAGGATCATACCCAACCAATTGTAGTCCCAATTCCTATTAGGGTCAGCACCATAGCATCCATTATCTGACGGAGACCTAGTTTTCCTCCACATTCGATCCTAGAAACAATATAATCATTAATTACTCACTATTTTCCAATAAACAAATGGAGTTTAGGAAACCAAGACAAAAGTTCATCTTCATCATCATCATCATCAACAACAGCCTGTTTTCGTACTCTGCTGGACATAAGCCTCTCCAATGGCACGCCACTGAGCTCGATCTTCAGCTCTACGCATCCAACCACTATCAGCCACTTTACGTATATCGTCACTCCACCTAGCTGGAGGGCGCCCTACACTACGTTTGCCTAGACGCGGTCTCCACTCTAGAACACTTCTACACCCTAAGTTCATCTTATAAATGCGAAATTTCATGTTTGTGTGTTTGTATGTATGTTTGTAACTGTATCATCTCAAAACAGCTGAAGGGATTGGGATAAAATTTGGTATCAGGATAGATGATGGTTTGAAATAACACATAAGGTATAATAACAATCGTGAGACATACTAAATTAAGTAAAAATCGCGGGTTACTCACTTGAATATACTGAGAAAAGCTCTACTAGTTTCGAACCACAGAGGGGTTCTTCCTCATGAGCAGCGTGCGCGGTCGCGGCGATGTCGCGCAGCCTATTGACTACTAGAGCTGACTACTAGTAGAGCTTTTTATTTTATGTATTTATTTATTAAGGTCAGCCAACGACTGGTTACACATCATATTACAACAAATCATTCACGTGAAGATTTTCTCAGTACATTCACATGAGTAACCCGCGATTTTTAGTTAACACATAGGGTACTTTTTTTTTTTTTTTTTTTTTATTGGGCTCGCTGCCATTGCAGCGGTAAGTCCCCTCTTTGAGGAGTGGCTTGAGAGACGCTACGGCGTCCTCACCTACCGCCTGACGCAGGTCCTCACCGGACATGGAAGTTTCGGGAGGTACCTGTGTCTGATGGGGCGGGAGGAAACGCCCGGGTGTCATCACTGCGAGGACCGCCCTGAGGACACGGTGGAACACACAGTGGGAGAATGCCCTGCGTGGGCTGAGCACCGCCGTGCCCTCAGGGAAGTGATCGGCGATGGCGACCTCTCGCGTCCGGGCCTAGTGCAGGCCATGATGCGGAGCGAGGGGGACTGGGATGCCGTCTCCTCCTTTTGCGAAGCAGTCATGCTAGCTAAGGAGGAGGCGGGACGCGTGAGGCAGCGAAGCGCTGCCTCCTCGCAACCCAGCCATCGCGAAGGACACACCGGGCGTCGGGGATCGCGGGACGATCTCCGGCCACCGTAAGCGCGGGCCTGCGGACGGCGAGCATGGGTGGCTCCCCGTCCGACCAGAAACAGACCCGAGCGTACGGCGCGTCGCGTTCCGCGCGCGCCTCAAAGAGCCATCAGACCACCACAGATGGGGCCCAATAGGGCCGATGCCGATTCGGAGTCGCGGAGAACCTAACGGGTAACCGGGGCTCCGGCTCGACGTGCAGGAGAAGGAACGGGGTGGTTTTTAGTCAGTAAGAGTCTGACACTCCCTTCCGCCTCACCCAGGCGGGAGCAGTCATTCGATGATTTTCCCCCCTTAAAAAAAAAAAAAAAAAAAGGGGTACTTTTTATTCCACAGGACGCGGGCAAAGCCGGCAGAAGCTACTGAGCTAATAAAGACAATAAATGCAATAAAAAATCTAGTCTATTAATGTTCATATAACAATCATGATGAAAGTCTAAAGTTCGATCGCCAGATAAGGATCTGTCTAAGAGCATTATTGCCTATCGATTAGGTAATATCCATTCATGGCACGAAGTTAGGAATCATGTTCAGTGAATAGCAATTGGCTCGCGCCCAATTACGTGGCAATAATAACATAACTGAGGCTGTCTGTCTACCCCTTTAGGGAATAAGTGCTTTGATATTATGTTTTATAACTTTGAATAGATAAATCGATAATCATTAGGCACACAGTTCATCATGATCAACACCCTTTATATGGCCGCTGCTGACCAAAGGTATCTTCTTGCACGGTGAGCCTATTACCATATACCGGGCACAATTCCAGACTCCGTGCGACTACTGAGAATGTTTTTAAAACCCAGAATACTTTGCCCGACCCGAGAATCGAACCCTAAACCCCTTGCCCGGTAGTCGCACTTGCACCCACTCGGCCAACGAGGCAGTAATTCGTTATCATTATGACAATATCTTGTAGGTCAGATAAGAATAGATTTGTCCCCACTCCCACTATACCTGGGGGTATAGACTAAGGCACTGCATCTTTCACTAAGATTGAGCTGCAACCTGATGTCTTAGTACCAATTTTTTTTACGTTAAAGCAATCGAAACTAGTATGAAATTTGGCGCTGTGATTGGTTGGTTCACTGAAGCCGGCCAATCAGAGAAAAACGTGAAAAAACTCGTACTAAGGCCACAATACTTTCAAGATTGTGATCTCCAACACGCCTGCCAAGCGTGGAATTTACGGCAAACGCTCTTAAGTTGTCGCGAAGACCTAACGGGTTACCGGGGCTACGGCTCGATGTGCAGGAGAAGGAACGGGGTGGTTTTTAGTCAGTAAGAGTCTGACAATCCCTCCCGCCTCACCCAGGCGGGAGCAGTGATTCGATGATTTTGCCCCTTAAAAAAACGCTCTTAAGTAAAGGAGGACCAGCATAGCCTAGTGTAGTTGTCTGTCACATATTATTTTTTTAATGCTCAATTTCGTTTGTTCGTCGGAATTAAAATAAAAACTAAGTTCTTTGAACAATAGTTAAATATGAATAAATGAATAATAATAATTTGTAATATAGCAACAGCACAGAATACCTTTAGTTACCTATAATATAGACACCAGATTTCCTGTAAACCAACGTACCTATTTGTGTGGTCTCGAAAACAAGGTAAAATAGGCTTTATTACTCATTAGTAAATATCATTTTCGTAAGCCTGGGCTATGAGATTAATCGGTTTCGTGGACATTTAAATGCTGGATTCCTATTTATTTTCCTTTGTACGTATACAATGGGATTTCAGTACTTATTTGCGATGGTGACTGACTAATTTTCTAATTTTAATGTCTGTAAAAGCATCAATCATATTTGGAAATGTTTAACATGTTGATTGATATTATGCTTCTAATTAGAAGTATTTATACTAGTTGTATCCAAGGCCTGATTCTGATTTGATTCTTCCTACCTTAATATAATTCCGATTCCTGCGTAGATACGGTACCGAATTCATCAAATTATCATTTGGTTATTCATCATTTGATGGTTTTCAAGTTTTGGGATCAAAATGAAGAAAATAGAGATAAAAACAAAAATTAAGCGTGGGAGAGCCATGCTTCGACACGAATGGGCCGGCTCGACCGGAGTGATACCACGACCTCAAAGAAAACCGATGTGAAGCAACGCTTGCGTTGTGTTTCGTCTTGTGAGTGAGATTACCGGAGGCCCAATTACCCTCCCCTTCCCCAATCTCCCCAATTCCTGAATCCCCAACGATCCTCAAACTCCTAATCCCCAAAAGGACGGTAACGCACTTGTAACGCCTCTGGTGTTCTGTGCGACGCCGATTGCTTACCATCAGGTGATCCGTCTATTTGTTTACCGGCTTATGCCATAATAAAAAAAATGCATTTGTCAACACAATACGTAACATACCCAAAAGCAGCAAAAACCTAGAGAGCCAAAAATTATTAGGGCCGCCTCATAGGCGCCTCTATTTTTTTTTTGGCGCCACTGTCGGTCTTTGGACAATTGGGCATGCACGTCTCGCGGCACCCCTCTATAAACTGGCGTTCCAGGCACTTGTCTAGTTTGCGTCAGGGATAATACGGCTCTGGACATATCCTCATTATAATATTACCAATCAATTCAGAAACTAGAACAATCATAATGATATGCTTTATACATAAATAGGATATTGATTTGTCCTACAAAATAAGGAAACCTAGTCCACAGGAGGTAAATATTTCAAGTTTTCCTTCTACACTAACTGTACGTTCGTTTTAAAATGTTAATCTCCAGAATTACTGGGTCGAATCGAATTATTTTAGGTTGTATATAGCTTATTTTATCGAAGAAGGAGATGGGTCGTAAATCATTTTGCTTTGACCAATAGCAACAGATCGGTGAGTGAAACTGCGCCTGATTAGCTGGGTCTGAAACTACAGTGGTACTTATTTTTGTTTAAACACCTCTAAAAATGTTCTGAATTATTTCGTTGTTGTTGTGGGATCCTCGACTTCAAACTTTTGGTAGATCCTGGCTTACAGGAGATGCAGTGGTTTGGAGAGATAGTGGTGGCCGGCATTGTACCATTAAAAAAAAGTTAGAAACTTACTCTTGTGTAACTATAGTGGTATCCATCAGGGTTGACAGTTGGGAAGATGTGCCAGTCAAACTGATCTCTCATTTCCATGATCTCTGGGTCTGAGCTGGTCAGCAGTTCGTTGATAAAGTACGTCGTCGTGGCAGGAGCTATCCATTCTCTTGCGTGAATACCTGGCAAAAGAAGAATTAAATCCAATATTTTATAAGGTAGGTCTTTAGGGTAAATAAGTTTTAAGGTAGATCATGGAGAAGGGTATTCCGCGGTGTACTGATATTTAGATACAAAATTAATAAATAGTGTACCTATTATAAATACATAGAGCAATATTAATACAAACAAACAGTACATTATACAATAAGAACAATAGTAACTTATTAGCCAAGCTAAGTAATTATTTTAACATCAAATCGATTAAATAAATATTTTTACTGCATAATTTTAAAAGAATATTAGGCTGTTCAAACAAACACCATGGCCAGCAAATAAAAAAATATTAAAAAAATACATGTTAGATTTCCCGCTCTTTTCCTTATCTATGGCAGCAATTCAAAAGAGATTGATTCATATATGGAATGCGATTATGATAATACTGGCCGTTTGTAACAAAAAGAGAAATATATTTGAATGGATTATGGCAGTCGGACATAATCTGGAGGAACTCGTTGTTACTCATACAGATTGATTGATAACCATATTGAATAAATAAATTATGTCAATCGAGTCGAAGTGTGAAGAGTGAGATAAAACAAGTTATTGTTTCTATTAAAGAACAATGTTTTACAAAATGAAAACTAAACTAAACATTGCCACGCCTTTTATCACCGAAGGGGTAGGCAAAGGTGCATATTACGGCACTTAATGCCACTGAACAATCTAACACCCACTTTTCGCTATTTATGTTATGAGTCCCATGTAATAGGGGGTGAGCCTATGGCCATATTCTGGTCATATGCTAGAGCCAAGTAATATTTTGCTCGACCCGGGAATCGAACTCAACACCCCTTGCCCGGTAGTCGCACTTGCGAATTACTCGGCCAACTAGGCAGACAAGAATGTTATACAAATGTATGTAAAGTACCTACTTACTATAAGGATGAAATTGCAAAAATCACAGGAAAATTCATGAAGTCCAAAGTCTGAAATAGTCACTAAAATAATCACAACCTATTAATCAATCAATTCGGTACTGTCCTTAATGAAAAATAGATGTTTGGACTGTTGAATACAATAAAAAATATTAAAAAATAATCACACTTTCACTAATTGATTTTATGAATAGAATTTAAGCATTTTCCAGCAACTTTAAAAAAAAGAAGTATGCTGTTTGACGCTAAAAAAGGTGACGTCACAAACACAATCTTGTACATACCTACAACATTTACAGAAAACTGTCGTTTTGACAGTTCGAAAAAAGTATTGAATTTGACTAGTTGACAAGTACCCAATTGTGGTTGAGAGTATCAACGGATTAATGCCGGAATACTGAAACGTTACTCAATCATAAGTCGCGCTTAAGTATATTTCTGTCACTACAAATTCTTTGTAAAATGACAAAGATGGCACGACATTTAAGAGTGACTTAAAATTGAGTAACGTTTCAGTATTCCGGCGGCATAAGACAGGCTAATTTATAAGGCTTAGTAAAATAACGTAAAAGTTAGTTGTATTGGACATACCTGACTCAATAAACATGACAGGTTTGTCTACATTAGTAGGTGTGTTGATCCTAAGCCCCAAGATCTGACGACCTTCGTAGCTCTGGCCCCCGACCACCAACTGCGCCCATTGTGGATGCTCGTCACTCATGTTTTGGAGATAGTTGTAAATCTGATAAACATAGATAATAGTGATAAAAATTGTGTTCAGCTCATTTGTTTTTTTTTTAAGGGGGAAATTCATCGAATGACTGCTCCCGCCTGGTTGAGGCGGGAGTGTCAGACTCTTACTGGCTAAAAACTACCCCGTTCCTACTCCTGCCCTTCGAGTCGGAGCCCTGGTAACCCCATACGTCATCATACGTCATCCGCGGCTCCGTATAGCTCATTTGTACTTGCGTTTAAACCGTGTGGTTACGGCAGAATATATTATTGCTCCTACTGCGAACTCAATGTTTATGCAAACGAAGAACTAGTGACGTGTACGTTTTCGAGCGGGCACCATCATCATCATCTTCCATCACCCTTAAAAGGGATGATGAGAGGGTATGAAGGTATATAAGGTATGATTAGGTTATGAAAAAATATTAGATACGTATTTTTTTATTTGGTTGTATAATATAATGATATAACGAATCAAAGTTTAGGAGTGGGGGTAAAACGTCATTTCTACGTATAAAATGTACATAGAAGTGACGTCACGCGACATTTCAAATCAATATATCGTCGAAACTATTCGTTTCCGGTAAAAAAATTAAAAATACGTGTCTAATGTTTTTAAATAATCTACCAGACGGAGATTAAAATAAAAATTAGTCATCTACCCTATTCTAAGTGGGATAAGCCAAGGTGCACATATTATACAATGTAACACCTTTCCACCAAGTTATAAATATTATGAGTTTCATGTAATATGGGTTGAACCTACTGCTACATGCCACTACCAGATAGGTACTTACGTCATCCACGTCATAGTAAGCAGTCCAAGAGAATTCATTGTTGGTCCTTCTCGTTCTGTTCTTCTCATTCCGAATTAATCTAAGAAAAAAACATTTATTGTTTTTAGTAATAGTACATATAGACTACTAAAATTACCTTCGTTTCGTTCTCTTTTTTATTATAACAGTGAGATAAAAACTACCTATGAATATTGTATTGCATACAGAACTGTAGAAATAAAATACAGGTTAAGCCTTTATTTTGTGAAAAATATACTTAAACTGCCAAACACCAAGCGGTCACCGGTGACCGCAACCTATTGTTCTTTAATTGTGTCTATAAATACGGTACTCAACAAGTTAAACATGTTTTACGAGTTAACACTATAAATACAATTAGTAGATTATGTTTGTGGGCACACAAACGAAACAAAAAAAAATCCTAATAACAGAAAAGATAAGGTCCAAAGTGTACTCACTCAGAAAAATCATTGTAAATGACTTTTGTATTCAGACCATGTGTGAATGAGATCCCTTCCACTATGGGAACTAGTTCAGGAGCCACTAGCATATGACAGCCCTTTTCAGTTCTTGAATGGTATGGTATTTCCTACGACAGTATAATTTTTTACGAATGAAAAACACAGAAAATCTGTTGATACATATTTAGGATACTAGCTACTTCTGCGCGGTTTCTCTCTCTGCTCGGCGCCTATTAATTGTAGCGTGATGTTTCATAGCCTATAGCCATTCTAAATAAATGGGCTATACAACACAGAAAGAATTGTTTAAATCGGACCAGTAGTTTCGGAGATTAGCGCGTTCAAACAAACAAAAAAACAAACTTTTCAGCTTTATAATATTTGTATAGATTTATACACAGTGTTTATTTCGTTTTCGTCCCGCGGCCAAATAGCTTGCCATAAGGAGTACTTTTGATGTATAATCTATATATATAAAAAAGTCGTGTTAGTTACACCACTTATAACTCAAGAACGGCAGAATAGATTTGGCTGAAAATTGGTAGCTTAGAGCCAGGAGACCGACATAGGATACTTTTTGACCAAAATTTTTTTTTACTTTTTACCGAAAATCACGAACGGGAACGGGAAAAAATGCGATTACGCGTACGAAGTCGCGAGCAGAAGCTAGTACTTTATATATATAAAAGTAAAAGTAAAAAAGATGTATTTTTTTTAGTTTAAAAAAATATTCATTGAGTATTATTAATATTCACTTGAGACTTGTAACGTTGTTGTCACTATTTGCATCGCACATGCCACCCGTCGAAAAATACCTCTTCGAGAATTACATGGCGTGATGTGTACTATCACCACGTATGCGCTTTCGAGGTTTGCTTTTTGCAATGGTTTACCAGTTATTTTTTGTTTCAAACATTTTATTTCTATATAAAACTATTGTATTACCGAGACAGAACCATTTTACTTCGGGACAAAAAGGATATAAATTTAAAGGTGAATGTATTGTAGGTATACATAGGTACCCGCTGCTTCAAGTGGTTTGACCTGCCTTCGCAAGATCAAATTAAAAGTAGACCAATCTATCTCAGTATTACGTTTAAAATTAAACAGTTTAATACACGCATTATCGTTATATTCAATACAAAAATTGAGCCTACTTGGAGGGAAATAATTCAAATTTTAAGTATTTTATTTCGAAAAAATACAAATAATAAAGAATTTAGAGCAACGATAACATTAACATTACGTTTCACAACAGTAATTAAGATAAAGTATAACATGTTTGCTATTAAGCTACTAATTGTAAAAACTAAATTGACAGAGTTATCAATATATTAAAAACTAATAGTAGCACAATTTGATAGCAACTCTGTCTGTATTAGGTCTTATAACATCGTGGCATTTAATCCACAATGCGGTAAACAGAGGTGCGCATCCAATGCAATACTCACGTTTCATAGGGGCTCAGCGAATACAAACTAACGAGACGGTGAGACAAATTAAAGAAGAATAAAAAATCTACTTACATAATTCTTCGTAAGAAAATCCATAGCTTTATCCATTCCATCTTCATGTCCTTCAATATGATACATTCTATGATTGCTGTACATTTTGTAATTATTATCATTATCTGTCAAGCATGTTTGTAGCAGGGACAGACAGACAAACAAATAGAATATTATCATTTTGCTAGAGTGTTGTTACTGATCGGGTGCTGTACATACTGAGGGCTTATATTTAACAGATAACGGTCGGTACTCGATACATTACTACAGATTCTTTGAATTGTATGTTTGTATGTCAAGTTAAAGAATGCATCCTTGATATAAAGATAAACTTGTTGCTTGATTAGAGAATGCATTGTTTTCACATACGTAAAGTATTATGGAGGTTTTAAGTCATATTATTTTTGTCTACAGTCTTATCTGATTTGGTGTAACCATAGATATAATTAATGAAGATTTCTGTGGTTTTGATGATGAGGTTTGGAGAACTAGCCCTCATTGAATACATGTTCACTCTCGTTTTGAGGACAGCAAAGCAATATATCCTTAAGATACACAAGGTCTGTGGTCTGTCGTCTGTGTTTGGTCTGGGATTGAGTCTCTGATTGTCTCACTCATACAACGAAACATAACACAATTGTTCATTCACGCCAGTTTTCTGTGAGGCCGTCGTATCACTCTAGTCGAACCGGGCCTTTCGTAGGTACTGATGTATGGCTATCCTACGAATATTCTTTTTTTTCGCGGGCCTGCGAGCGTTGGGCATGGGTGGCTCCCCGTCCGACCAGAAACAGACCCGAGCGTACGGCGAACGTACTCAAAGAGCCATCAGACCACCACAGATGGGGCCCAATAGGGCCGATGCTGATTCGGAGTCGCGGAGAACCTGACGAGTAACCGGGGCTCCGGCTCGACGTGCAGGAGAAGGAACAGGGTGGGTTTTAGTCAGTAAGAGACTGACACTCCCTCCCCCAGGCGGGAGCAATCATTCGATGATTTTCCCTCCTTAAAAAAAACTTGTAATTTTTTTTACAAATCATAAATAACACGAAGAAGTTGTGAATAAACGCTAGTAGATTATATAATATCTGATCAAAATACATTTATTCATACACGTGTACCTACATAATCTAATTTTCACATATTAATATTTATTATACTATGACACAAATATTCATATCTGTTGCCTGATTTGTTGTGTGACAATCAGTAGAGTAAAATGTAATGATGTTTGTCACGATTCCTTCTCTACCAGCGGGTGTCGTGAAAGCCGACGAAGGGACCACATATTTTGGGCCCAGTAGGGCTGATGCCCAATTGAGCCGCGGAAGACCAAACGGGTTGCCGGGGCTCCGGCTCGAAGTGCAGAAGTAGGAACGGGGTGGTTTTTAGTCAGTAAGAGTCTGACACTCCCTCCCGCCTCACCCAGGTGGGAGAAGTCATTGGATGATTTTCCCCCCTCAAAAAAAAAAGGGCTGATGCCCAATACGGAGAAGAATAAACAAGTTGCTGGAGCTAAGACTTAAAGAGCAAGAGTAGGAATGGGCTTATTTTTCCTCAGTGACAGTCTGACACTCTCGGCACACCCAAGACGGAAGAAGCGGTTGGACTATTTTCCACCTTAAAAAACGACTATGCGGTCATTTAAATACTATCGTTTATATATTACGTTAAACATAAAATACATATTACATTATATTTACGTCATTGCATTAAAAATAGTATGTCTAGGTCGCAATAGACTTGTCACAGATAACTTGAGTCGACAACTAATGGCATTATAATTTAACTTGTAAATAAGTGCGGGTTTAAGTGAAACGTGAAAAAATTTAACCCTGTCGTTATCATTATGTAAATATTGTATTTATGCGTCATTCTTTAGCTAAAGAAAGTAAATGTGGAAGACACAGAAAGCCGACGTGAAACAACGCTGGAGTTGTATTTCGTCGTGTGAGTTAGGTTAACACAGACCCAATTAATCACCCCCTCTCCATAGTCTCCCCGTCTACAAATCCCCCGCAATCCTCAAATTCCCAATTCCCAAAAGGCCGGTATCATCAAACCAGCAGACTTACTCTTAAAACTAATCTCATTGTCAATTCAATAAAATGTCAATAATTATTCAATGTCAACACTACCCCAATCGTAGCTGTTAAAATAGCATTCAGAGTACGGAATATGAAGCCAAACTCAATACCATTTAGTAAATTCAATATCCAATTGATGCAATGGGTGCTAGTGTCGCCACTCAGTCGCGGATAACCTAACAGGTTACCGGGACTCCGGCTCGACGTACAGGACACTCCCTCCCGCCTCACCCAGGCGGAAGCAGTCATTAGATGATTTTCCCCCCTTAAAAAAAAGTGTGGCCACTCAAGAGTTTCAAATTTCACTAAATATCAATGTCGATCGATCGGGTCTGGATTTAAGGATAAGCCGCCAGCTTAATGGTATTGTACTGTATGGTCTAAATGATACAACAATAAGAAATATGTGTAATTTAGATTTTCATATTGTTTAGTTATTCCAACAGTTTACTCGCGTCACATATCTGTCCAACGAGGTCACTCGACTGGTTTCAATCACCTCAAGTCCGTTGCGTAATACTTACGCGCACACTACTCAAGATTATGGGCCCCGTTCAAGGCTGAAACCAGTTGAGTCAAGCAAAAATAATAATTATTTACTATTTCTATAGTAACAAAATGACTAATTGAAGTGAAACACTTATCGTATGCTACTTGAATGTAGATTAACTTTACAAAGAACAATGAATTACCGTTAAGTATCTATTGTTCGTATTTATCTTTATTAACTTAGAGTTCCACTATACTGCCAGCCTTGGATCCGGGTAAGTTTCAAAACTGCAGCCAGCCAACGAGAGATGAGCAGCGTTTTTGATGAAAATCAAAACAAGTGAATTTATTTCTGCAAATATTTTATTTTTGTAATCAATTTTTTAAGTGAACGATGAGGTCGACATTTCCTTGCTGACTACTATGAGAAGAAATGCCGAAACCAACTCAGAGGTCTGCCATTCTCAAAATGCTAAAGATTTAGAAGTAAACCTGAGTAAGTTCTGAAACCAGTCACGGGCAGCAACATCCAGTCACTTTCCAAATGTCATCGTCATCATCATCATCATCAACAGCCTATAAGCCAATGCTGACCAAAGGCCTCTTCTCACTCTGTGTAGGGTATAGTAAACCTTAACCCAAAAAGGGATTGACTGTCTCGTTGGCTGAGTCTATGCAAAGTGCGACTCCGGGCAAGGAGTCTCGGGTTCGATTCCCCGGTCGGGCAAGGTATAACTGGTTTTTTTTTTAAATTCTCAGTTGTAGCACGTAGTCTGAAAATGTGTGCAGTATATGGCAATAGGCTCACCCCCTATTACATGGGACTTATAATATTAATAGTGAAATGTGAATGTTAAATTGTACAATGGAATTAAGTACCGTACTGTGCACCTCTGCCTACCCCTTCGGAGATAAAAGGCGATAAAATACATTCCAATGAAATTTCCTTTTTTATTTTTCTTTTTAACCTTTTTTTTCTTATACCTATGGAAGATATAGAAATTAGTGTGTGTATCCTTTATCAGATCACATAAATAAGCACATACGAATATTTCACACCTGGTTGTGGCGTAATGTACAATAATAACTGTCCTGATGACGTCACACTATGTTATAGTGTTGCCATAGCATTAAATATCCGACAAGTAGAAAGATCTCTGCAAGGCCATTAGACCTTGGTAAAAGACAGGATTTATAATCAAGTGTAATTATGCTCAATAGCAGTCAAAATATTTTGGCTGACTTGGAAATGGACCGAAAGGAATCAAACACATTATTATCATAACATCCATACATAACATCACGCCTTTTATCCTCGAAGGGGTAGGCAGAAGTGCACATTATACCACTGTACAATGTAACACCTACTTTTCACTATTTATATTATGAGTCTCATGTAATAGGGGGTGAGCCTATTGCCATATACCGGGCACAGTTCCAGACTCCGTGCTACTACTGAGAATTTTTTTAAAACCCAGTAATACTTTGCCCGACCCGGGAATCGAACCCGAGACCCCTTGCAGTCGCAATCGCGACCACTCGGCCAACGAGGCAGTCAACATTATTATCATTAAACCTGAAAGGTAGTCTTTACTTTACCTTAATTTTAGGTACCTACCTAAGTAATTATTTCTAAACATAGAAAAACAAATTATCAGTACCTACCGGTATCTTTGAATTTATGACACACGTTTTCAAATTAAACTTTTAATTATGAAACACTTCTCCGTCACGTATTCAGTCCGCCGCCATCTTGTTTTTTGGAAAATATATCGCGAGGTGAAATTAAATGAAGTCGCTATGTCTGAAAAGTTTAGTTCTAATCCAGTTAGACAAATTCATTTTAACTTTAACAATTGTTTTAAAGCGAATCCTATTCAAATATATTGAAAACGTACCTACTGTAGATAATTTCTAGAGGTATATATAAGACTAGTATTAATTCACTGTTTCATTTGCATTTATTCAACATACATAAAAAAATCTTCATCTAACCTACTTAGAGGTATATTTTAGTAATCTATATTTAATAACTACATAGTATAAAATTAAATCGCTATCCGCCGTCTGTCTGTCCCTATGTATGCTTAGATTTTTAAAACTACGCAACGGATTTTGATGCAGTTTTTTTTACTGAATCGAGTGATTCTTAAGGAAGGTTTATATGTATTTTTTTTAAGGGGAGAAAATTATCGAATGACGGCTTCCGCCTGGGTGAGGAGAGGTAGGCCGCCCCCTCTTACTGACTAAAAACCACCCCGTTCCTTCTCCTGCACTTCAGCCGGAGCCCCGGTAACCCGTTAGGTTCTCCGCGACTCCGAATCGGCATCAGCCCTGTTGGGCCCCATCTGTGGTGGTGCGTCGCCAGTATATGTATAAAGTTGAAGAGTTTGTGTGTTTGTGCGTGCTAATTTGCGGAACTTCGGCGGTATTTCTGAACTGATACGACCTTCAAACCCACAAGAATAGAGCGTATTCCCTTTTAAAAGGCCGGCAACGCACCTGTGACTCCTCTGTTGTTGCTCATCGCTTACCATCAGGTGATCCGTCTGCTCGTTTGCCTCCTATTCCATAAAAAAAACAGCGAATGAAACCAAGCGAGAGAAATTAATCTAGCCATATAAAAATTGCCTTTAATAGGTATATGACGCAGTTTTTACTATTCGTTAATAAAGTGTCAATAAAAAACATTATCTCTGAACAATTCTTTAACTGTCTGAGTTGATATCTGTCTTTCTGTTGCCATTTTATGAGATACAACCTGACACAAGGACAGTGGAGTCCCGTTCCATATAGTACCTCCTCCTAGGATTCCTCTTTACCCTATGGGTACCTACAAAACCTTAAAAACTAAAATCAATCTAATCCAAGCAGTTACTCAAAGTTCTAAAACCATACGTAGCCTTGAAAACGTTGTGTTAACCCACATATTTACGTCATTCTATGTTTAAACATAAATATATTTGAAAATAATATAATAATACAATCCAGTGCAAGAAGACTACAGGAAAAAAATACAATCAAAACTTAAAAATACATTTTATTGAAAGTGAACCTTACCCACATGTAAATAGGACTAACTTTTCCATGTACATCTCAACTTGAATACATAACAATTATGAGGTAAATTGATTGTTTAAATTGCTAATATATGATCTTAAAATACTATAGAATGTCATACAGTCATGTATTAAAACCTATTTTAGTTTGGAACTCCATGACATAAACAATAAACAAGGAATTTAATCAAACCTCCACGCTGGACAGGCCGGTTAGAGTTCGTAATTTAAAAAAAAAGTTCAAGTATATCATAGAGAGCTTGGGACCGGGTACAATATTCCTTAGTTGGTTTACGGCACCCACTGGAAAAGCAACAGTGATCTCTCCTCCCATAATTATACAGTTGATAAATGCACCACCCAGTTTATAAATATAATGAGCAAATGACCTCATATTGACATAAGGAAAAATAACTACAATACAAGGGAATTCGACCAAACCAAATCTATTAGTATAGTGTACAGTGAATATGTGGACTACTGTTTGACGGGAGAAACCATGAAATGTAAGTTATATTTTTATTAATTTATCATCGGTTTTTTAAGTTTTGCGTTTTAAATTTGTATTTAAATATTATCGTAATGTAAGTTATGTTTATTTTTTAATGAATAATTATTGTGCATTTATTAAAGAAAGGTTTTAATAATCAATTCAATATGCGTATGCGCAATTCTGAGTTTCTCTTCTGTAATGAAAGGTAAACTAAATGTCATAGAGGATAGTTTAAAACTATTTTTTATCTATGACATTTTGAAAAGTCGGTAGGAATAGAAAATAACATATTTCACGCAAATATATTATGACGTCATATTTTTTGCGTCAAATAGCTTACTTGTTCTTTTTTCAAATTAGTTAAAAATGTACAAATATCAAGTGCTTAATAAGTATTTCGTCAAATTAATTAATGAAACTGTGACTATTTTTTTTGTATACATATAGTCCGATAATTAAGAGGGGAAATATGGGGGATACCTGGAAAATTTTAGTTTTAGTTCTACCATTCCAGGTAGAACTACCAAATTACTGAACTGATATTTTTTTTAAGTGCGGTACTCAGAGACAATGTATAATTCTTAAAACTATTTATTTCTTAGTAAAGACTTAAAAAAAAACACTTGGTTCGTCAAAAATCGACATTATTCTACAAACTAAAACAGTTGACTCGGAATATATGATTCCATAATACTAGAGCACTATTCAGGATAACGTGCGACAAAACACAGACGATAAAAAATGTAGCAGCAAGAGTCAAAAGAACTGGCATAGGGTGTACTTTTTCGTAGATAACACATAAGTCATTGTATTTTAAAAACTATGACTTAGAATTTTATAATATACTAGCTTTTACCCGCGGCTACGCTCGCGTCACAAAAGGATAAAAAGTAGCCTATATGACATATACCTATACACACAGCGCCATCTATACCAATAATTTCGTTTTCCCTCGAGAATATCAAATTTTTCCGGGATAAAACGTACCCCTATTATTTAATCCAGACTTCTAACTGTACATCTGCAAAAATTCAAAGCAATCGATTTAGTAGTTACGGCGTGAAAGCGGAACAAACAAACAAACTCACTTTCCGATTTATAATATTAGTAAGGATTTCTGATAGTCTTTGGAACCTTGCCGACCACCTGGTGCCATTTGATCATCGACTTCAGGGACACCATGTATGATAATGATAAATGATAATGAAAGATTATTATTATTAATGAGAATTTTGTTTTTTTTCTAGTATTTATTTGCCTGTGCCTGGCGGCATGGCCGAGTGCATTAGCAATCTATTTCACCGGCGAAAAAGAAATATTTCAGTCACCAAACCTCCTTCGAATAGACTCTTACTTCGGATATAGTATTACTTATGACCAACTGAATAAAAAGTAAGTTGTATTTTATGTATATTATTACTAATTCTATTTTAATCTTTATTATGTTTAAAGATCGTCGCATACCTAATAACTAATAAGCATGGCTCGGGCTTAGCTCCAGCACGGCTAAGGCATGGCATTTTTTGCTTTGAAAACTATACAAGAAGGTTGTAAGCACGACGCAAGCGCGCGAACAACGCAATTACAGCCTTATTATATTGACGTTATGAAACATATCATACGATATACGATTTAAAGTTCATTTTTATTAAATAGCAAGTTAGGTATCTTCTTTACTTTATAAAAATTGACTACCTAGATGTATTGTAATAAAAAAATTGCATGACAAGGGCACGGACCAAGAGTCAGTGGATAATTCATCCGTAACATTAAAAAAAAAATATCAAGTTAATCTTTTGGGTTAGAGCCATGCCTATTAGGTGTGTGATGACATCAACATTAATGCATTTCATATACATGAATCGAGCAACAATTTATATTTAATTAGGTATTCAAGGAAAATATATATATAGTATAGTTAAAACGTAACTTCATTGTGTTTGTTGTTTCACCCACGTAATAATTAATGGCCAAAATAATAACTAATTTTGATCGACTGCCTCGTTAGCCGGGCAAGGAGTCTCGAGTTTGATTCCCAAACCAGGCAAAGTATTATTTATTTATTTATTTATTTATGGATTGGAAAACCAACAGCTACACATAGCAAACAAACAGATAACATAATAACACCAGAAAGCCAATTACAGGTTTTCACGAATAGACTTCACTATATTCAATAAAAAAAAACACTCACAGTCCAAACAAATACATCGTTTACGAAAAGAAAATAAAAAAAAAAACAACAAGAGTGTTTTAAAGAAAACCTCAGTAGTAGCACAGAGTCTGGAATTGCGCCTGGTATATGGCAATAGGCTCACCATTACATGAGACTAATAATATAAACAGTGAAAAGTGGGTGTTACATATTTTTACAGTGGCATTAATTACCGTAATGTACACCTCTGTCTACCCCTTCCGTGGTAAAAGGCATGATTACGTAATTTAGATCCAAAATATTTTAACTTTTGTCCCAGTAAAGAATTAATGTCGAAATTCTATCTGAGTTTTAAGTTTATTTATGCAATAATGTATATAACATATTGAAAAGTATTTTTGTAGATTATTGAATATCTTTATATATATAATTCTTCTTCTTCTCAAACGACTGGACCGATGTTGATGAAATTTTTTGTGTGTGTTCAAGGGGATCTGGGAATGGTTTAGATTCACAAATCAGCCCGGCAGATGGCTCTGCAGTCGGTTTCTAGGTTATTTATCTATACCTATTATTAGAGGACAACGTCTGTCGGGTCCACTAGTTTATTTATAAGTATTGTAAATGTAATTTTCATTTTTCAGATTAGTTGTCAGTGCACCGAGAGAAAATAACATTGGCGTTGTGTATGACTGTGATATACCTTCTCGAACCTGTTCAAATCTTACTGTGGGAATTGATAGAAATGCTCGTAAGTTTTAAATAATATCAAGTTAAAGTCAAATTCAAAATCATTTATTTCAATTAGACCAGGAAGGCACTTTGAAACGTCAACAAAAAAAATTTAAAAGTGAAGCTATTTGCTAATTCCAACGTGTAAATTCCTATGGAGAAGATCGAGTAAGAAAATCCATTGGTTACTTGTTTTTAACCAGGTTTACAATACAAATCTCTAGTTACATAGTTTTATTGGTTCGATTTGTCCGAGAACAATGTAACACCAAAATCCAGTCAAAGAGATCGAAAAAAAAACATTGTGGACAATAAATATAGAAAGAGAAACTATTACATTACGCATTGTCAACAGTCAAGGCCTGGGACAGGCCAAAACTGGACTAAGAGGAGCCTCTTAATATGAAAATTTGGTCTTAAACCCCTTGCTATATCTGTAGTTAGCCGTTAGCGGGTTGGAGATCGTAGTATTACCGTATATTACATTAATAGGTATAGACTGCCTCGTTGGCCGAGTGGTCGTAAGTTCGATTTCCGGGTCGGGCAAAGTATTACTGGGTTTTTAAATATTCTCAGTAGTAGCACGGAGTCTAGAATTGTGCCCGCTATATGGCAATAGGCTCCCCCCTATTACATGGGACTCATAACATAAATAGTGAAAAGTGGGTGTTACATTGTACAGTGGTATATAATGTGCACCTCTGCCTACCCCTTCGGGGATAAAAGGCGTGATGTTATTTTAGGTATAGACCTACAAAAGGAGTTCGTTTCTCAAGAACGCTGCTGCTCAGTCTCAAACATAAATGTGTAATATAAGTCAACTGTTAATATTTTTATGAAATAAGCTGTTGATCGAGTTATGGGTTAACTATATATACCTATTTTTTATTTAATTTAGTATTAATACTGTTTTTTTTGATGTACACAACTCCTCTAAATATTTCTTTTGCATCATATACACCCAAAGGTTGATTATATTAAGTGTTATCACTTATAATCATTTCAACCAAAGGTCTTATGACCGCCTTTGTGGTCGTTATAATTTTTTTGTTTTTTATATACTATATAATTAATGGTGTACATTAAAGATTATTCCATTCTATACTAAACTTTTTGAAAAAGAGTCTGTATTGCAGCAGTGGAATATTGTTGGCAGAATCTTCTCCACAATGAATGGCGGACTTAACATCTTAAGGCATTCTCTGACAGTCAACCATAGGAAATGAAGCTGTTGATGCAAAGCCAGAACAAAATAAAAAAATGTTAAATAATATGTTAGAGAATTCTATTGTAAACCCGATTGAAAAAGAGTAACCTATGGAGTTTCTTGCTCATTCTTCTAACTAATCTAGCAACTAGCTTCACTTCTAAATTTTTGTTGTTGACATTCAAAAGTGCCATCCTGGGCTAATTGAAATAAATGTTTTGTCTTTGACTTTGACTTTGTATAGGCCTACTGCACACCTAAAAATCTAGGTATACCTCTAGAATAGATATATTAATACAATATTTTAGAAATCTAAATAGACATACTATAATATGTACTGCCAAACGAATACTTATATTTACTATATGATATATGGTGCCGCGATACTCTAAGATGTCTGAGTAATAGTGTGTGATGGGAAATAATTCTTAACAAAATGTCCCATTATTTCAGTTCCTACGCAGTATACTCATGATTACTGGTTTGGAGCTACCGTTAAATCAGGACCTAACTTCGTATTGGTAAGTTTTCTAACTATTAATCTCAATAAATACATGTAGTTAATAGTAAATTTGCATTGTTTGTTTGTTACGTCTTTCGCTTCATTTACTTAACTAATCGTCATGGTTGGTGCGATGGCTCGGCGGTTTTCGATGCCAGAGCTCGATTCGACGGAGCAACTCTTTATAAATGTGATCCACAAATTAGTGCTTCGAGTCTGAGTGTCTCGTGAAATTGTATGTTTATAAACGAACTACGACCCAAAAGAAAGTCCGAATGTGGGGCATCATTTTAAAAATAATTCTTGTTGACTTTGTAAATAGCAATAAAATAAATAATAAAAAAGTTAACAAATAATCTATACACACACGTGTCAACACACACGCCTCTGCAAACTAGAATGAGGCGTCCTTCAGCTAGGTGGAGTGATGATACCCACAAAGTAGTTTGACTGTGGTTTATTCAACCACCGAAGAGCTGCAGTATGAACTCAATGGCAGTTGGAATAAATTTGTTATTAGACTTGTTTTTATAATAACTATCGTGAGACATACTAAATAAAATAAAAATCACGGGTTACTCACGTGAGGCTAGGCTCACGCACGTAGGCTGCGCGACATCGCTGCAACTGCGCACGCTGCTCATGAGGAAGAACCCTTCTGTGGTTCGAAAATAGTAGAGCTTTTCTCAGTATGTTCACGTTAGTAACCCGCGATTTTCAGTTAAGTTATTAGACTTGATAATGAAGCTATTAAACAGTTTCTCAGTGCTTAAGTGACAGCTATTACTAAACATAAGCGTGGCCTTTTTGTGGCTACCAAACAGAACAACTACCTAAATAATATATTATTTTCAGATGTGCGCCCCACGTTATACTCAACATTATTATAGTAAGTCCAGTACAGATGGTGAGTTCAATAATTCCAAATAATAGAATGGCTTCCACTCAACCGAGGATGTATCACCATCTACAGGATCCTCCAGCTTAAACAAATCCATAGTACTTGGAATTATTGTGTGTGTGTGTGACAAAAGTGTTAGACAAATGCCTTTCGCAAATTTATGTAAATATAATTTATATAAATAGTATATTGCATTATTATGGCACGTCACGTGAACTGCTGGACCTATTTCGATAGACATTATTTTGAAAATAGTTAGAGGAAGGTTCTTATAAAACAAATTAGAAAAGCAACCTTTAAGTATATGATATAGGAAAATATTGACAATCACAGTATTAATATTCTCTGACATTTTGATGCTTCAAATGGGAGACATTTAATTGGGAGATATTTAACAAGTTAAATAGTAAGTTATAAAAATAATATTTCGAAGATAAATGTGTTATAAACTTATTAACTATTTAACATCAATTTATAGCTGTAGTTTAATCATTTTAAGCGATAGGCATTTGTGTAGACACCCTGTAAGTATACTGTATAATTATTAAAAAGTAAAGATGTGTATTACAACCATTTCTGAAATAAGTTCCACACAAAATATTATTACCTGAATAGGGTAGATGACTAATTTTTATTTTAATGTCCGTCTGGTAGATTGTTTTAAAACATTACACACGTATTTTTTATTTTTTTACGAAAACGAATACTTTCGATGGTATATTGATTTGAAATGTCGCGTGACGTCAGTTCTATGTACATTTTATACGTAGAAATGACGTTTTAGCCCCCACTCCTAAAGTTTGATTCTAAGTATTATTTTATTACACAAAAAAAAAATTTCGTGTCATAATTTTCTTTACCTAACTGGCGGACTAATTAGATTTTTAATTTCATACCCTGTCATCATCCCAATTTTAATAGCATATATTTGTATGTAGTGATAATAGAAGTTACACTAAAAAAATCTAATTACATTACATGCATTAGTATTTTACATAATTTCTCATTAAATACATCTTTACTTTTTCTTCAAAAATGTGTTATGACGATTTTCAATGTGTTAAACACTTGTAAATGTTTAATTTTCTAGTTTATGATTTAATTATATAGCGTTAGCCATTTCATCCGGGTTCAATCCTCGGTTTGGGCAAAGGATTAGAAGGAAATATCACTAGAAAAATAATCAATGCAATTTTAATTCAATGGTTTTCCTGGTGCGAAGGATTGTAACAATAGTAGAGGTGTAACAGAATTGGTCCTTCAGAGTTTGGAATTTGAGAATTCAAGCCAAATTAATATCATATTTACATTGAAAACAAATTGTTTTCTATCAATTTAGGTACGTTTTTTATGGAATAAGCCGGTAAACGAGCAGACGGATCAGCACATCTCGCGATCAACTAAACCGATTTTGATATGGTTTTCAGAAAAGTATTTGTTATGCTTAGGAGAAGGTTTTAGTATATTAATTAACCGACTTTAAAAAAGTGGGGTTTGTTATAGGTTTTGTAAACGTATTTTATAAAAGGATTATATTCTCCTGTTGTAGTAATATGTATCTTCTGATTTATTTCATTGCGGGTTTCTACAATTTTGTATCATACCATGATGCTCAGCCGGACTTCATTGTTTCGGTGTTTTTATTGTTGTATCTACTATAGAAGTTGTAGCCGTAATAGATGTTTAAGACAGACTTGTCACAAAAAATTGCAACAATATTTTGAATAAGGGTGGTTTTAGTGTCGCGCTGACCATCCGTGCTGACAGCCGAAGTATATAACGGTAAATGGTATCTTCTAGAAATGCGCACTAAGCGTCATTCATCCATCAACGCTGACAGTGCGCGTGCCTTCAGCGTCAGATTAAAACCAGCCTAAGGAGACCCTTTCTAAAACAAAAGAGAACGTAATATTATGCTTTAATTAATGTTATTTTATTTTGTAGGATTTAATAAGTACGTGACGTTTGGCAGATGCTTTTCGCATGAAAACGGGAAAATGATTGAAAAGAGAGTTATCAATGAAGAAGAGAGGGACAAGAACTCCGGATCTCAAATGGGTAAATGATATACTTTAATATTAAAATACCTCTATGTAGCTGAATGAGTAGCCAAGATTGGAGATTATGAGGTGCGGTGCCAGAAGACCTCCCCGTGGTGCAACCTGGGAATGGATGATTGTTGACTTGTTGACCCCTAACAGGGGTGATAGGGTTGGAGTGACTATTGCCTTGGTGACCTATTGCCAGACTATTGGCAATTAATCACCTATCTTAAGTTTTAATTACTATTGGAGTGACAATTGGGGAGGAGGTCGTGATGGACTGGCAATAATGGCTCCATTCCGCCTCCTCCAGGCGGATTCCTGGACGCCAAGGCATGAGCCCTGGCCTCGGAGGCTCTCGGTCCTCGATTGATCGGTCTCTACAGCGCATGTTTGGAGAGAGGCCGTGTACCGGCCCATCGTGATGCTTGACGAGGTGGGGTAAGTCGGCGAAAGAATTATTTCACACCGCCTCGTCGCGCACCTGTCGAATGTTGGGCCGGACCTAACGGACGGCCAGTTCAGCTTCCGCAGAGGGCGCTCCACAGTAGATGCCATCATGTGCGTTAGAGACATCACGACGCACCAGGTGGCGGACAATTTAATGGTGACAGCGGTTGTGAAAGTCTTTGAAAGAATCCGCCAACTAGGACTCGAGGTGGCGCTCCACAAGTCCGAGGCCATATCAAAGCACCGAACTCGATCTCGTTTCGAATGCTGAAAAACAAGCCAATTCGGGAATTAACCTTTCGACATGGTCAGCAACATGATCTAGATCTAGATAGTACTAAGCCCACAGATCATCACAGATGGGGCCCGTTAGGATTGATGCCGATCCGGAGCCGCGGAGGACTTAACGAGTTGCCGGGGCTCCGTTTCGAAGAAGAGGAGTAGGAACGGGGTGGTTTTTAGTCAGTAAGAGTCTGACACTCCCTCTCGCCTCTTCCGGGCGGTTGATCTTGATCATAGTACTATCTAGATCATGTTGCTGACCATGTCCTAAGGTTAATTAGAGTACTAGCTAAAAGTCTAGAATAAATTACATTTTAAAACCTACTATCACGAAGTCTAAAATAGTGCCCCGTAAATATATAGCATAGCCTGATATTATAACGTGTATTTCAGAAACTCGTATGGATTCCTTTGGTTGGAGTATTGATGTAGCCAGCGACGATAGCATATTAGTAGGAGGCCCAGGCATGTTCCGCGGTAAGTGACACACACGTTAGATAGAAGATGTTAATCTTCAGAAGGCAAACATCGCGCCACGCCCAATTAAGTAATATTTGAAAATTATTTATGTGGCGATGTACAAAATGTCTCAAATTCAATCGCTTAGTGGGAAATAACATAATGGATTTTTTAAGTTCAAAAAAATCTGATACTATAGCACAGAGTTTGGAATTGTATATTATATTAGGAATAATCGCACGATGTTTTATTTATAAATACCTAACTGTTTTTAGGTCGTGTAATGATCTACAAACCGAGAGAAACCGTACCAACATTTATAAAATACAAGAACAACAAAGACACCTTGCCTGAATTCGATTTTGGTAAGTTTTCATTTATGTCGTTTTGGCCTGGAGGTTTAAGACACCTGCTTCTCATGAAAAATGGGGAACCCGCGTCCTCGTGCATGAAAAAGCGTTAGGTAAGGTTATCTGCAGCTCCGGGTATCATAAGGTAGCCTGGACTTATAATTTGTGGCCAGCAGTAGCCACTTATAGGCTATTGATGACAATGATGATGAAGTTTTTATTTCCTTATTTACATTGTTTATGGGATAAGCCAGCAAACGATCAAGCGGATCATCTGATGGTAAGCAATCGGCCAACACCACATTTGCGTTGCCGGCCTTTTGAAAGGATATGAGGATTTGGAGTTGGAGGGATTGGGTTGGGAAGTAATTAAGAATCCTATATTCTCACTTACCCAACGAAACACATCGCAAGAATTGTTTCACGCTTTCATGCGAGGCCGTGGTATCACTTCGGTTGAGCCAGCCGATTTTTGCCGAAGCCTGGCTCTTCGATTTTTTAATTACACATATTTACTTATTAAATGGTGTACTAATTATACTGTGACTATATCATTTACCCGCTTTTATTAAATGGTGCATTCTTTGATAATCCTCAACAAATAAGTACATTGCAGGTTACGCCGTCGCCTCGGGTATGTTCTTAGATAAGAAATTATCATACGCGATTGGTTCGCCATATGGGACTAGTGGATTTGGAGAGGTAAACAAACAAATTATTTTAAATAAACCCACATCCACGTACTAACAATTTATTAACTGTGGAAAGAAATCAGCCCGCCTTTAGCAAGCGTGATCATCATCATCATAATCATATCAGCCACAGGACGTCCACTGCTGAACATAGGCCTCCTCCAATGACTGTGAAGATAGGCGGATTGGAAGCGACCTACATCCAGCGGCTCCCTGCGACCTTGATCAGGTCGTCTGTCCACCTTGCGGATGGACGTCCTACGCTGCGCTTGCAAGTCTGATAATTGAAACATTTTCCGTGTCAGAAGAGGCCTTTGCTCAGCAGTAGGCATTTATAGGCTGTTGATGATAATGAAAAGAAATTAAAAATAATTTAATTTTTATAAGTGTAACAAGTTGTGTTGTCTGAAGATCATATTACTTAGTCTCAATAAATGATTCTAAACTATAAGCCGAAGACTATAAATAAAAAAGTCTTGTGTAGAAAAGATTTCTTACTTCAACAAAAACCTTTTATTACCCCGTTACTTCTGATTGCAGGTTGCATTTTATCATGAATTAAAGTTAATACGAAAACTGGTCAAAGTGGTGGACACAGATGTCATTGGTTCAATGTTCGGTGCCGTGCTGTGCGCTGCAAAAATGTCCGGCAAATATCATGACCTACTTGTAGGTGCACCGACTTACGCCACAGTAGATACATATGACTTAGGAGCAGTCTACGTTTATCTTACTCCCAAAAGTAAGGTTAGTAAACGCATGAGCCTACTATCATATCATATCATTTTGTCTAATATTTTTTATTTTCATAATCTGTCATAATTGGGATGACGACAGGGTATGAAAATAATAGACACGTATTTCTATATATATACCTAATATCGTGTATAAAATATACATAGAAGTGACGTCACGCGACATTTCAAATCAATATAACGTCGAAAGTATTCGTTTCTGTAAGAAAATAAAAAATACGTGTAAAATAAAAAATACGTCTAATGAGTTAAAATAATCTACCAGACGGACATTAAAATAAAAATTATGCATCTACCCTATTCCAATTTCACAGAAATCTCCAACGTTCAAAAGAAGGATTGTCGGGGAATCTGCCGGAGGTCAATTTGGGAGTGCCATAGCAAACGTGGGAGACTTGAATGGTGACCATAAAGACGGTTAGTGTTATTCATACATTTTTTTGAATAATAATTTTATTCTAAGATAATGCCTATGTTTAAATTTATTATTTATTTATTCAACAAGTAATGCTTCAAATTGCTATTAAATTTAGAAAAAAAAACATGATGTTTGAGGAATAGGTTGGGAATAGATATTAAAAATACTATGAATTACTGAACATTTTATGTTGGAGCCTCATGCTTTGACACGGCCGACGATAAGGCCTAACTATTACGACCTTCTTTTGAACTACCAAAAATCGTCTAAAACTAACTAAAGTGATACAACCAGATTTTAGTTCAGACCGACCCTATGGGTCAAATTAAAAAAAATACGTTTCGACCTCTTTTGAAAATCGAAAATCTAATAATATCAGCATTTATTTTGCAGAAATAGCAATAAGTGCACCATTCGAAAACGAGGGTAGAGGTGTTGTCTATCTGTATAGTGGACACGATTTAGTTGGTGACAAGACAGAGGTGACTCTGAAATGGATGCAGAAGATCGAACCTGAACCAAGTTATGCACAATCCTTCGGTCTGAGTCTCACACCACTACTGGATTATGACCAAAATGGATGTAATGGTAATATTTTTTTAATCTAATATTTTATTTATACATCACTGGCGTACCTGACGTACGATGAAACAAAACATCGTAAAGGAAACTTGAATCTGTAATTTCGATTTACAAGTTTGAAATAGTCAATCCATGATTAATGCTGAGTGTGAAGAGGCTTTTGCTCAGCATTGGAAGAATGATAAATGAGACTCTTAAAATATCTGGTGAAATGTGAATTGTACACATGCACCTCTGTCTATCCCTTTGAACATTAAATAAAATGTAAAGTATATTATAATTGTATGTATAGTACCTGGATGACTGAGCTCAGCTCGGTGTCTATTTAGTACATAATTTTTATTTTGAAAAAATGAATAAAAATATAGCAAGAAAATGGAACAAAAAATAAAAGAATCATTCGGACTGAGGATTGAACTCGAATGTCTTGCGTAGAAGGCGTCTGCTCTACCTATTAAACTATTTTAACTTTATATGTAATACCGACGAAATTGTGCTTCGTATTCTAATGAGGATTTTTATTCAATGAAAACACGGACAGATCGACATTTTCTGGAAATGAAACAACTAACTAGCTAGATTGGTTTCTGGCTCCTGAAAGAAACCTCGATAAAAAATTTCAAGAAAATAGATGAAGCCGTGTCCGAGTTCGTTATACAATAATTGTTCGTTTAAAGATAAATTCATTGTTGTATTAATATTGTGTTCTGTCTCTAGAATTGGCAATCGGCTCGCCCTACAAAGATAGAGTGGTTCTCTTGAGGTGTATGGCTGCTATAACTGTACAGACAACCGCCGTATTCCCGAACGTAAAGGTAAGTTGTGAAATTTAAGCTACGATTGCGAAGGACTTAAAGGGTTGCCGGGGCTCCGGCTCGAAGGGCAGGAGTAGGAACGGGGTGGTTTTCAGTCAGTAAGAGTCTGACACTCCCTCTCGCCTCACCAGAGCGGTAGAAGTCATTGGATGATTTTCCCCTCAATAAAAAAATACGTTGTTAAGTCAGTACAATTTTTTTCAGTACCATCACTTTAGCAATTTTTTTCAGTACACTTAATTTAACTGCCTCATTGGCCGAGTGGTCGCAAGTGCGACTGCCGGGCAAGGGGTCTCGGGTTCGATTCCCGGGTCGGGCAAAGTATTACTGGGTTTGTAAAAACCTCAGTAGTAGCACGGAGTCTGAAAATGTGCCCGGTATATGCCAATAGGCTCACCCCCTATTACATGGGACTCATAACATAAATAGTGAAAAGTGGGTGTTACATTGTACAGTGGTATTAAGTGCCGTAATGTGCACTTCTGCCTACCCTCTTCGGAGATAAAAGGCGTGATGTTATGTTATGCTAATTTAACGTAAGACACAAAGTTCATTGAAAATACTTGATTCATCGAAATATGATATTCTTTTCCAAACTACAGCAGTTCGCCCAGAATTTATGAATCCATAATATTGAATCACTATTCAGGATAACGAAAGCAAAATTACAGACGGAAAAATAAAGAATTGTTGCAACAAGAGTCAAACGACTGGCACAGGGTGTACTTTTTCGTGGATAACACATAAGTCACTGTAATTTAAAAACTATATGACTTGAAACTTTTTCTATATTTTTTTGATGACTGTTGGATCCTTGTCATTTCTTGATCATCTGGTACCATTTGATTTTTGACTTCAAGGTCACCCTGTATTTGTTACTACTGCTAAACATTCCATGAGTGTCTTTAGAGCTGATTAAGAAATTGCACAATGCAAATTCAACAGAGACTGTAGCGTGCTCTGAACCTTTTTTACTGTAATCGCCAACCGACTTTATGACTAACCTATGACTTGCAAAGAACGATGGTCCATTGCTGATGATCATAATAAATACATACATAATACATAACCTCACGCCTGTCTTCCATTGTGGTAGGTAGAGTATGGAACGCCAATTGCAACGATTCTTACATAGGTACCTCTTTCGCTTCATCAACAGTCATCAGTCTTTTCATAAATAGCGGGACAAATGGGGCTTACCGTTTCTTTCCTCATTAGATTACGCTAGTGTGACTATTTTGTTCTTCGTCCAATAGGAAATTAACTAGCATCACACTATTGGACGTTCAATATTTGACATCTACACTGATTGGACAAAAGATCCTCTTCTACATTTGCATCATCGGGTGAGCAAAAACCCTAAGCCCCCATTGATACTAACCAGTGTTTTTTTTCTTTTGTTAATAGTTTAACATTACTTTTTTCTTTATTTAGGGTCGCGGTGCCTCTAAAGTGAGCAACTATGATCTCCAAGTTTGTTTAAGAGTCACATATCCAACTTTACCAACTACTATCATCGCGCGTAAGTACCCTTAATTATTATATTTAAAGAATTTAATAGAACTTAGTTAAGTAGTTCGTCCTCATTATAAAATCAAGCTAATAATTAATTTTTGGCTTTAAAGCTTTGATAAATTGCAATCTGAAATTTTATAACTTAACTGTCTGAAATAGAATTAAAAAGGCATATTTGTTTCTGTAATTTTTCTGTATTGTCGTTAGGTTTGTCAACTACAGTTATGATGACTCACTCCTCCGCTAAATTAACCACAGTCAACGGCCCGGACGGTTTCACATTTGAAAAATCGCTTAACGACAAAAAAGGAGAATACTGTGAAAAGATTCCATTCGTTCTACCTCCTGTAAGTATTATTACATAATTTATTAACTGCATACTTACCTCTTAATTGTTAATTCAAAAAAGGGAAGTCGATATAACTACTCTAGCTGCGGTTTCTTGGTAGAAATTTCATTAAACCAAAAAAAATATTACATCCATGTGAGTCTAAATTAGCAACTATAATTATCTATTGGACAAACTATTGATATCTACAAATCGGGATTTTAATAAGTGGTAAAAGTGTGTGTATACATTTAATATCCCCCATATTGCTTCGAAGAACAAGTGACGTTAAGTTAGATATTAACTAAGCGCGGGCCTGCGAACGACGAGCACGGGTGACCCGCCGCCTGACCAGAACCAGGCCCGAGCGTACGGCGCGTCGCTTTCCGCGCGCGCCTCAAGTAGCTATCAAACCATCACAGATGAGGCTCAACAGGGCTAATGCCGATACCGAGCCGGAAGACATAACGGGTCGCTGGGGCTCCGGCTCGAAGTGCAGGAGTAGGAACGGGATGGTTTTTAGTCAGTAAGAGTCTGACACTCCCTCTCGCCTCACCCGGGCGGGAAAAGTCATTTTCCCATTTCATTTCAAAAGTCATTTTAGAAAAGATGATTTTCCCCCCTCATAAATGTTGGACATTAGTTAATTGCTTATTAATATGATGTATAAAGTCACAACCTGCACGTTATGTGTATATATTACATATGTTATACCGTACCATGCCATGCCAAGTCATGCAGTAATTTTAATTTTCTAGGACGGCAAATACGACGCGGAGATTAGCTACGCCGTTAAGACGAAGTTGTTAGAAGATCCAATGCAACTAAAGAAGTTTGAGAGCTCCCGTGTGATCCTCAGTGACCGAAGCGTCTTGCAGGTCGTACAGACCGCATGGGCAGCCGAGTGCGCAGGCAAGATTTGTGTGCCCAACTTCAGTATGACACCTTCCATGAGTTTTGAGTAAGTTGTATAAACCACAATATAAAGGTACCTATGAGATTTGGAAGGCTATGGAGGATATATCCTATAAAAAGTAATTTAGTATTTATTTTATATGAAACATTTTAATAATTGTTTGTTATGAACTTTTAAATGGTAGTTCCACAAATATTTTCAAATCTGAATCAACATAAATCAAATTACAATAGAGGTACATAACAATGTCCTAATAGGAAATGTTTAAAAGTTTGACTTTAATTTTATACCATTTTCAGTAACAAAAACAAAGCATATATAATCGGTTCAACAAAAACAGAGCACATATCATTATCTATGGTCAATACCGGTGAAGTCGCATACGATCTGTGTTTGCGTGTGGAGATCCTCGGGACGAGGGTGCTGAAATATCCACCAGCCTGTCAAGCTAACGGTACCAGCTTACTCTGTATGCCTCCCACACCTATCAGAAGTGGCGACAAATGGGTATGTACTTATAATAATCACCATTATTTTAATAACTGAAACTGAACTGAATTCTTTCATAGACTACGTTTAAAAAAATTGACTTCAACTCCCTTTTTTATCGGCATAAGCCGGTATACGAGCAGACGGATGGTAAGCAATCGGCGTCGCCCATGGACACCTGGAACACCAGAGGCGTTATAAGGATCGTTGGAGATTCAGGGATTGGGAAGATTGGGGAAGGGGAAGTTAATTGGGCCTCCGGTAACCTCATCCACACGACGAAACACAACGTAAGCGTTGCTTCACGTCGGTTTTCTGTGAGGCCGTGGTATCACTCCGGTCGAGCCGGCCCATTCGTGCCGAAGCATGGCTCTCCCACACTTAAACTCCCTCTTTCTTAGCCCATAGATCCCCAAGCGGTCACCGGTGACCGCTTTCCACTAATATTACATTACATTATAGACCTTATTTCCATATTCCCAATGTTTAGAGACTACTTTTGTATGACCAAATTTAGGGGATGGATTTCAACGGGTTAAAGATTAATTAAATTAATCAATAAATAAAAATAAATATATACTAATACCTTCTATTAAGTGTAACAAATAATTTTCTGAAAATAACACCAAAATAAGTTCAGCCAATCGCGAGATTATCGCACACAAACACACATATAGGTACTATACTGAGAACCTCCTCTTCTTTATCAAGTCGGTTAAAAACCACTAAGTAAAGAACAGTAGAATTTAATTTTAACGGCGTAAGCTCTACAGCTTATGTATGTAAACTATCTAAATAAATAAATAAATATTCTATCATGCTATGAATAACTCATTTCTTCATCTCTAGGACACCGGTTCAATATACCTAGATATGCAGCAGCTCAACAACTTGGATGAAAAGGTGACAGTTAACGTGTCCCGGTACAATTACTGCAAAGATGTCAAACCAACTGAAAATCGCCCGTACACTATTAACATGAAGCCGGATCCCACTGGAATCATCGCTAAAGGGTTTGTATTACTTTCTACATTTATTTGTACGTCTAGCTTATCTTGATAATTATAAATATCGAACAGAATTCGTCTGCGTAGAATATTAATTTTAGGACACAACATATCTTTTTCAAATTCTTAAATTAGTTTATTAGCAAACTAGCCCGTGACTTCGTTCGCGCAATCCCGTTTCTCTCATTCCCGTAGGATTTTCAGGATTTTATTCTGTCATAAGAACCTTCTCCTGACGATAAGATCAGCCAAATCGGTCTAGACGTTCTCAAGTTATGGCGTGACAACGGAAAACGGGTTTCATTTTTAAACATAGGTATAGATATTGACATTAGCTACCTGCCTTCAAAATCGGACCTGCCATTCTAGAGATTAGCCAGTACAAACAGTCATAAAGACACACACACAAAAATGGTAATAAATGTTATTTTGGTATGTGTATCGTATGTTTATTCAAATGGATATAGTAAAAAGCGGTTATTTTAATATTACAAACAGACACTCGAATTTTGTTTATCTGTGTATATAATATTTGATTCTATGTTAAGTATTCTTATAAGAAAAAACAATCTAACTCTATTCGATTCTGATACAAACATACGACGCAAGGAGAAAGATAAATACACTTTTGCATAATAATAATGATTTTTTATATTTATAATGATATAATATAATGATAGGTAATAGTCTCTATACATATAATAAAATCGTAGAAATTTCAAAACTGTACATTAAATATTTTTTTAAAGAATATTTGTAGCGTGATCTACAATCGATACGGAAGCCAAAAATTGGATTTTTTGAATTTTTGTCTGTTTGTCTGTATGTATGTTCGGGATGATCTCAAAAAGTACTGCATGGGTTTACTTCAAATTTAGGATGAAAATTACTGACAAGTCGGGTCAACATATAGGCTATATATTATCACGCTATCATCTATAGGGGAGGAGCCCTATACTAGGTACTGAATCAATTCTGACGACATTCGTTACCGTACAATATCCCTTGATAAAGACTAATTTTAAAACTCTAAATTCTGCCAGAAGTCATTATTCGACGAAGTCGCGGGTAACAGCTGGTTATAAATGGATTTGGAACAAATTAAACATAACTTAGTAAATAAGTAGGTATACCTTTATCTTGGTTACAAGAAATATATACCTCTATATATATAAGAATATAAAAAAATGAAACAATATTTTTGCAGAGAAAATGACATTGGCGCAATCGTTAATGTGACCAGAGAAGATGCAACAGAAAAAGGGAAGAAGATAACTCATGTTTACACTGTGAGTCCTTTCATTTATGAAATAAAATAACTACTGCTCTGTCTGCAATAAAAAAAGACTGCCTCGTTGGCCGAGTGGTCGCATGTGCGACTGCCAGGCTGGAGTCCGGAATTGGGCCCGGTGCATGGCAATAGGTTCACCCCCTGTTACATGAGACTCATAACATAAATAGTGCCGTAGATAATGTGCACCTCTGCCTACGCATAAAAGGCCTGATGTTATGTTATGTTATTAATATGTAAGCCGAACCTTATTACAAAAAACTCATAACTGGTGAAAAATGTGTTATTGTAGATGTGCACCTAATTCTGGCGATCCCATCGGGGGTGCACATACAAAAAGTGGGATGTATATATTTCTTTTTTTTATGGCATACGTAAACGAGCAGACGGATCATCTGATGGTAAGCAATCGGCGCCGCCCATGGACACCTGGAATATCAGAGGCGTTACAAGTGCGTTACCGGCCTTTTGGGGATTAGGAGTTTGAGGATCGTTAGGATTCAGGAATTGGAGAGATTGGGGAAGGGGAGGGTAATTGGGCCTCCGGTAACCTCACTCACACGACGAAACACAACGCAAGCATTGCTTCACGTCGGTTTTCTGTGAGACCGTGGTATCACTCCGGTCGAGCCCGGCCCATTCGTGCTGAAGCATGGCTCTCCCACACTTGAAACTTAACTACTTCTATGGCATATTCCGGCAAATAAACATAAAAATCACCTGATGGTAAGCAATTGGCGTCCCTGTGACACCCGCAACACTTGAGGAGTTACATATGAATTACCAGCGTTTTGAGGATTAGGAATTTGGGAATACAGGGTTTGGGAATTGGGGAGTAGCGCCTCTGGTAACGGCACTCACACGATAAAACACAACGCTAGCTGTTGTTTCACTCCGATTTTCTGTGAGGCCCTTGTATTATTCTAGTCGAGCTGGCCCATAATTGCTAAAGCATGGCTCTCCCACATTTATGTGACAAAAATCTTTTTCTTACAGTTATCGAACTCTGGACCCACAAATTGGGTGAAGCTTGAAGTTAAAGTGAAATTGGTGAAACACGAATTCATAGATGATGTGTCCGTAAGTATTTTTCATTTCAAAGCAATTTATAGTAGGTATATTAAATTTTATTAAATAGCCCAGCTATTACGCTTATCGTGTTGTCAAATTAATAGCTTCGTTCATGTATTCAATTACGTGATTCATTTACAAAAATAATAATTATTCATTAGGAGTAACTGCAATTATCAATTTAAATCATAAATTCCTCGTTGGCCGAGTGGTCGCAAGTGTGACTGCACGACAAGGGGCGTCGGGTTCGACATTGGCAAAGATTTGCTCTGTTATAAAAAAAATCTCAGTAGTAGCACGGAGTCTGCAATTGTGCCCGGTATATAGCAATAGACTCACCCCCTATTACATGGGACTCATAACGTAAATAGTGAAAAGTGGTTGGTACATTGTACAGTGGTATTAAATGCCGTAATGCGCACCTCTGCCTACCCCTACGGGGGATAAGGAAAGGCGTGATGTTGTGTTATAAATTTATTTTTAATACGAAAATAACTATACAATTATTATACGAATATTACTTTTCTTCTCAGGTGCATCTATCAGAAGCTTACAACACTATGAACTGTGAAAATGATCCAAAAGATGAATCGTTGTACATCTGTGTCATTGAAAGTCTAAAAGTTCAAAAGGACGAGGTCAAAATTCTAATCCCTATGTCTATAAAGCATAATAAAGATCTAGGTGAGTTACATTTTCATTAAATACTATATCAATACCATCATTTCTATACTAATATTGTCACTTTACGTCCACGTGATAAAAACAATACAGTACATTATACATTTAGACTTTCCTCGGAAATCAATCACACCATTTATCGCGTTCATCACCATGTATAAAAATCTGTCTATTCGTATTGAGTTTATCGCGTTCATACAGATAGGCTTGAACTATTGTTGCTGTAATATTTTTATACCACTAGCCGCAAAAATCTTTATTAAAACGTCGCCCCACACTAGGATTTTCTCTTGCGTCGTGGGTGCGTTTACAAACATACAAGTTCACATACACATGACACCCAGACCCGGAACAACAATATGTGGATTACACAAAGAGTATGTGTGTATGTATGTATGTATATTAAATATACAAGTTCACATACACATGACACCCAGAATCGAAACAACAATTTGTGGATCACACAAAGAGTTGTTCCGTGCGGGAATCGAACCCGCTACAGGTTGCGCGGCAACCAGTTGCTTAGCCACCGCGCCAACCGCGCATTTAATCTTACAAGCTAGCTGATGGTAAGCAGGGACTGTAGTCTAAATACACCTGCAATACCAGAGGTATTACAAACAGTAGTGCGTTGGGCATACAAAAATCTATCTACCAGACAGAATACGACGATTATAAAGTAGCTATATAATTAACGATTGTTTTCAGAGGCAATTCTTGAAGAGAAGAATGTGACCATCTCGTCTTCGATATCATTTGAACCTATCCCTGGCTACTTAAGAAATACAAGGTAATGTTTATACAATGTATAATACAAGCAGGATATGATCTATTTAGTGTAGTGGTAACTGGCCTTCTACCAGGCGAGATAGAGGTCAAACATCGGCCCATCAAACATAAAAATAAAGAATTCAACAATTGCACTCTCACCCTGCTTTTAGTCTTCTAAAGCTCCACATAAAACAATCTATAACAAAAAACTGACATTATCCTTTCTTTCAGCATTTCCACATTAGTAACGCTGCAGGATGCGAAGGTTCCTCTCATGATCATCATCATCGCACTGGTGGTGGGTCTGCTCATCGTTCTCATCATTGCATACGTTCTGTACAGGGTGCGTATAATATTGTATACCAATCATTATTTTAAAGTCTTTCTAATATTATAATTGCGAAAGTTTATGTGTGTTTACATCAAAAGGGCTGAAGGGATCAGGATGAACTTTCGAACGGGGATAGGTTATGGTTTAGAATAACAGATAGACTGCTTTTTTCCTACAGGAACGAGGTTGAAGCCGCAAGCAAAAGCAAGTGTATATATATATTTTTTTTGAAACTTTGCCCCACACTAGGAATTTCTCCTGTGTCGTGAATGCGTTTACAAACATACAAATTCATATACACAATGACACCTAGACCCGAAATATTAATTTGTGGATCACACAAAGTTTGTCCCGTGCGGGAATCGAACCCGCGACACGTTGAATGGCAGCAAGTTGTCCAGACACCGCACCAACCGTGCAGTCGATATATATGTGGAGTTCAGGATAGAAGAATAATAGTCATAAATATGTTTTGTTCACTATATTCAAATCACTCAAATCAATAACACATTATTACATTCAATCATTGTAGGTAGTTATAAGTTAAGAGTAAAATATAATCAAACAAAGCAAAATTACACAGTAATAATTAACCTAGCAACATTTCAGGAACACATTGTAATGAAATATAACCCAACATTATAATGGGGATGATGACAGGGTATGAAAATTAAAAATATAATTAGTCCGTAAGTTAGGTAATGAAAAAATATTAGACACGTATTTTTTTATTTTGTCGTATAATAAAACAATACTTAGATAAAACGAATCAAAGTTTAGGAGTGGGGGCTAAAACGTCATTTCTTAGTATAAAATGTACTGAGAAGTGACGTCACGCGACATTTCAAATCAATATATCTTCGAAACTATTCGTTTCTGTGAGAAAATAAAAAATACGTGTCTAATGTTTTTAAATAATCTATCAGACGGACATTAAAATAAAAATTAGTCGTCTACCCTATTGTAACCTAACAATATGCAGGGAAAATATTATACAAGAAAACAAGAGACTGCCTCATTGGCCGAGTGGTCGCAAGTGCGACTGCCGGGCATGGGGTCTCGGGTTCGATTCCCGGGTCGGGCAAAGTACTAGTGGGTTTAAAAAAAAAAATCTCAGTAGTAGCACGGAGTCTGGAATTGTGCCCGGGAGCAATAGGCTCACCCCCTATTACATGGGACTCATAACATAAATAGTGAAAAGTGGGTGTAACTTATGTGTGCACTTCTGCCTACCCCTTTAGGGATAAAAGGCGTGACGTTACGTTACAAGAGACAGTTACCTGATAGTTCAGAGCACTCGTGGTTCCGTGTTCAGTGCGTCTGATCCATCAAAAACACAGTGTATCCCTTTTTATAGCACAATTCACCCTAAAAGTGGGGAGAAAATAGTTAATACAAATATTGTTATAGACCGGAGGCAGAACAAAAATAATTGTGACATTTCTAACAATATCAAATAATACATTCAAGAGTGTGCGTATTTATATCAGGATCAACTAGTTTGTCCTAGCCTAGACTGGTTTATCCTATCGGGCTTCTAGGCTATACTACTTAATCCTAACGCGTATAGGAAGAACTAGTTTAGCCTAGGCAAAACTAGTTTGTCCTGAAATCGGGTTTGGCCGGTAACATACATATATGCATTATTAAATGAACGTGATTTATTTATAATTGTATCTTTTGTTCTATAGGTTGGTTTCTTGCAGCGCAAGAAGAAGCAAGAATTAGACAAGTTAAAAAGAAGTGTTAAACGACAAACTATTGTAAGTTACCTTATTATTATAATTTTGAAGTAATGTTGCTACATTACTTCAAAGCAGAGAAACGACCTTATTTTAAGTGTCCATTCCAAAATGTTTCAACTATATTTTCTAATTTCTTTGATAAATATTATGTTGCAAGTGTCTATTTATTCATTAATATATATATATTATTCATAATATATAATATAATATTATGAGTATTACTTTTTTATATATAATATTATGAATAATAAATAATAAAAAAGACACATACAACTTAAAATTAACTGAAAAACAAAACAGCAAATAAAAAAAAAAAAATCCGCCAGGTAGGCGTTAAAGAATTCGTCCGCATCACTGTCACTGGGGAACGTGCCCAGAAAACTGGCAGCATTGTCACGTTTAATCGCAAATTTCTTTGTACCTCCTTACATCTCTATTTTTAATTTATTGGTAATGGTTGATCGATTATTTTTTTTAGGTTAAGCTATGTACTCTGTATTTATTTTCCTTTATTTTTCAAACAGTTGAGACGGTCCACGATGCCCACTCAAAGAAGTTCTCAATCATCTGAGCAGCGAAGGCAAGTTCTAGAAGGAATTGATGATACCGATGAAGATATAATCATTACTAAAAAATAATACTAAGAAATATCGTAAGATTATACATATTATTTCATTATATTATGTCCGTGCCTAGTCTGTAAATGTTTAACTATTAAAAAATAAAACAATGTTTTAAGAATATATTTTTATTATTTCTTGTGTGTATTTTTCCTTTCATAATACCGATTTCTTCTGAATTATAATCTTAATTTACTTGTATAGGTTACCTTTTGATCGAATGGGCCGGCTCGACCGGAGTGATACCGCGGCCTCATAGAAAACCGACATAATCCCCCCTCTCTTTTCCAATATCCCTAATCCCTAAATCCCCAACAATACCCAAATACCTTTTCCATTCATGGGGATCACCCCAAAAGGCTGGTAACGTACTTGTAACGCCTGTGTCCCGGGTGTCCATGGACAACGCCGATTGCTTACTATCAAGAGATCCGTCTACTCGTTTAACGGGTTATCTCATTAAAAAACGGCGCCGCGGGCAAAGCCGCTGGCAGAAGCTAGGGGGAGATAAATATGGTCATAAATAAAAAAGAAAAATAGGAACTAATACCTAAAATGACGCAATACGATACCTCAGATCGCCAGGGGAAATAACTGAAGTGATATTATGTATATAGAGGTATACTTTCAAATGTTATGTATTTCAAAAATGTCCATATTTGAATAGAGAGCGTTCTAAAAATTGAACAAATACGTGAACGCACGGAAGGTTTATTCGCATTAGGTCGAAATCGTATTTCAATATTATTCAACCCCAATTGTCATGAGGAAATATAATATTGTTACTGGAATATTTGTTTTAAAGACAATGGGGTTGGTAGATTTAAAATAGCAAATTGTGTCATAATATTTTATTTATTGAGTAACAAAATAACGAGGAATACGAGATTTTTACTAACTAAAAACAGAGGTTGAGCACCTGAGTAGTTATCCTAATTAGTTTCTATGCAATCTAGCCTTATGAACCATTTTGCAGTTTAACGCACGATTTGACAAAAAAATTAACCAAAATTCATCCCAGCAACAAACACGCGTTGATAAAAATATCACATTCTTGATAATATTACACGTCTTTACAAGAAGGTCACAATAAAATCTGCGGTCACACCAACAAAAGAGTCCCAACAATAATAAACGAGATAATCGGGCCGCTGGGGGGCGCCACAATAGCCCCAACTTTAAGGTCCTTGATCATGATTGATGGCCTAACTTTGGGTACAGTAAGGTTCTTAGCTATTGTGCTTTTGGTAACTGAAGCTGGGTCTGCTTTCAGAATTTCAGATGTATAGCAACATTATTAGGTCATGAAACAATAGTGTTTCGAACATAGGTGCTGATAAGTTTCAAGCAAAATCTCTATTGATGTTCACTTAAATAAAGGAATTGATTTATGTGTAGACTAAGCCTAAACCACCTTCGTATCTTAACTCCTATTAGTAGTTAACAATAATTTTCCTTAAACATTTGGCCAGAAGCATTTTTCCACCTGGATATCTTAACAGACTAGATGACCAAAAACTGCGATTCACAAGTCTGCCAAGCATGGCTATTATGGCGAACTCCATTTAAAGAATTAGGCTTGAAAGGTTGAGTCGTATGTGTATGATATTCTAACAACACTCAAGAAAAGGCGTAGTGATGTAGTGGTAAATGTATTTTAGTGTCTTAAATATCAGCGAAGAGTAAGAGTAGTGATTCTACACTATCGTCGCCACACTACTTAAACTCTGAACCTAACATTATTGTCATAAGCTTCCATAACGGCTATATTTCGCTGAGACACCATGGCGGCGCAACCAGTGGCCGCTACCAACAAAGGCAATAAGCTGGTTGCGCAAGTGGCCACCAAGTGAGTAACTCTCTATAGAGCTGTATACATTTTGTTGGTAGCGGTTTCGACTGGTTGCGTCGCCATGGTGTCTTAATTAAATATAGCTCTAAATATAAAAAAAAAATCCTCGTCAAAAAGTTACACGAGTAAGCTAATGTAATTTAATTTGTCTCACGAAAGCTATACCTAATATAAACACAGGATTTGAATAATAAGTATTTTGAATAACACATGTTGCAATTTTTATCCCGGAAAACCTTATGAATAAAAAATCATAATCGTGTCAACCACAATACGTCTGGTGCTAAACATAGGTAACCCCCAATTACCTCCCATTTAGCTGTTCAGAAGCGTCTTATATCCAGCTCAATGCGACCTAAACAAATATGTATGTATCAAGTTTCAAGAACAATGATTCAAATAAAACACAAATTAATAGTTAGTTTTAAATTCAACCGTAAGTACCATAAAATACAGTAATAAATTGCAGTTATTTCCTGGTAACTTAAGAAGTAGTACATTTACCGGTTTATTAGGTAGGCGAATCGGTAGCAATTTTATAGGGGTCAGTGACCGTTAAAGTGGCAATACTTTATATCTTGTAGTACTTTCATTATACACTAGCTGGTACGCGGCGCGTTACTACCGCAAATAAGTAATTGAAGATATTGTTGAAAATTATTACTAGTTATAGGATTGGTACACTGCTGTGTGCATTATTTTTTTATGACATTAGCCGGTAAACGAGTAGACGGATCACCTAATGGTAAGCAATCGGCGTCGCCCATGGACACCTGGAACATCAGAGGCGTTACAAGTGCGTTACCGGCCTTTTGGGGATTAGGAACTTGAGGATCGTTAGGGATTCAGGAATTAGGGAGATTGGGGAAGGCGAGGGTAATTGGGCCTCCGTTAACCTCACTCACACGAAAAAACACAACGCAAGTGTTGCTTCACGTCGGTTTTCTGTGAGGCCGTGGTATAAATTAAAATAAACAAAATTATATTTACAAAGTTTCTTCTTTTATCTCAATAAGCAATAAAATACTGGGATAAATACAATGTATAGTACGAACACGAAATGTATATTATGTATAGGACAAATACAACACAATGATGACCCATGTGTTACTATGTATGAAGGTGCCATATCCAGCTATATTGTATCCAAGTACGAACATTTTTAATACAAAAGAACAAGAAACAAATATGTTTTACTTTGATATTTTTGTATATGTCTGAAAAAAGAGTAAACATTTTATCAACATTTTCTTTTACAAACTTGTTTCTAGTTAAAACCTTCTTGCGAGACCTTTGTGTTTGTATAATCTAGAAAAACTGGGACAAAAATATAAGTACGTTCATGAGTAAACTCAAAAGGTATCTAATAACAAGGAAAGTATTTTAATTGCGCTAACAATCAATCAAGTTTAAGTGTGGCTGAGCCATGCTTCGACACGAATGGGCCGGCTCGACCGGAGTGATACCACGGCCTCAAAGAAAACCGACGTGAAACAACGCTTGCATTGTGATTCGACGTGTGAGTGAGGTTAGTAGAGGCCCAATAGTTATGATGACAGGTTATGAAAATTAAAAATGTAATTCCTCCGTCAGTTAGGTCATGAAAAAATATTAGACACGTATTTTTTTTATTTTATTTTATAATAAAATGATACGTCATTTCTGCGTATAAAATGTACATAGAAGTGACGTCACGCGACATTTCAAATCAATATATCGTCGAAAGTATTTGTTTCTGTACAAAAATAAAAATGTGTGTTATGTTTTAAAATAATCTACCAGACGGACATTAAAATAAAAATTTGTCATCTACCCTATTCCCCACCTCCAATATCCGAATATGATGTTGAGGGTGTCCATTGGCGGCGACGATTGCTTACCATCAGGTCAGTCTGCCCGTTTACCGATTTAATTGAGTTGCATTTACAGTTCACTAAATGGTATTGCAAATAACCAAATATTATTTATACCAACTAAGAACAATTTACATAATTTCTCTAACAATGTTTAAACTCATTTTGTTTCATATCTTGAATGCAACATACAAACAAAATATAATATGTGTTATCTTGTAATCCATTGAGAACTCAAAACAAAAGCTAATAAATAATAATAAGTTGACAAACAGCCGCACTTCCTCAGTGCTCGCACGGTCGCACCTGGTCAATGTAACTCAGTCATAACGATGTGTGTACAGTTAGATACAAAAGTAACCTTCTATACGTGTCTTACCATCATGGGGTCCAACAGGGCCGATGCCGATTCGGAGTCGCTAAGAACCTAACGGGTTACCGGGGCTCCGGCTCGACGTGCAGGAGAAGGAACGTGGTGGTTTTTAGTCAGTAAGAGTCTGATACTCCCTCCCGCCTCACCCAAGCGAGAGCAGACATTGGATGATTTTCCCCCCTTAAAATACGTAGTGTCTTAAAATATGTTTATTAGGAATTAACCAGTTTTTAAATGGGGAATATTTGTAAATTTCTAACATTGCATAACATCACCTTTTATCCTTGAAGTAGGCAGAGGTACATATTACGGCACTTAATGCCACTGTACAATGTAACACCCACTTTTCACTATTTATGTTGAGTCCCATATATTAGGGGGTGAGCCTATTGCTATATACCGGACATAATTCTAGACTCCGTGCTGTTACTGAGAATTGTTTAAAACCCAATAATACTTTGCCCGATCCGGGAATCGAAACTCATCAAAACACTAGGCCAACGTACCAGTAGATAACTTGCTTCCTACGTACTATAGGAATAAAATAACAAGTAACCTATTACTACAGCTGACTGTACCCCACATATGATGTTATACCAGACACCAGGTGCTTGCAATAAGGATTTATTTTACGACCGCTACGTTTTTACAATGGACCCGGTTTTACGAGGGACCTGTCAATTCGGCACATCAAATTATTGCCTATGATACATTATGCTTTATTGTACACGATAATAAAAATATGTTAAAAAGATGCAGTAATTACAATAACAGCCCTTTGTAATTTTATATGTAACAATGTTTAGATTTTTTATAGGATAAGCCGGTAGACGAGCTGCTGACGAGCGACAGACGTCACCTGATGGTAAGCACTCGTAAAGTATTACTGGGTTTGTTAAAACCTCAGTAGTAGCACGGAGTCTAAAAATGTGCCCGGTAC